ATACGACCATAGTTTATTATAATCCCAAACATAAATAAAATACGAAAAAAATTTTTTAGAAAATATATTAAATCAACACAATTTGCATGACATATAAAACCCATCACAGATAGTTTTAAAATCACTTTCGAGTATAAACAATTCAATAAAGAATAATCTACTTTAAGATTAGAAAAACAAGGTATATTTTTGTATGTACGTTCTATCACAGTTTCCCCTGCATGAACGGCTTGAGGTACTTGTGGAAGCTCTGGTTGACTGGCTCCGCGTTCAGAGGACTCTTCAGCGCCTCCTCCATCAGACGCTCGTACACGCGACCGTCGTACGCACCCAGGGTAGACTGAAGTAACTGTAATCATTTTTAACTTTTATTTTTAATTTAATCATAAGTTTATAAGCACTATAAAAGACAAATAAACAAACAAAATTAATATTATAATCTAAATCTTATGATTTAGAATTTTAAAAAACTAAAATGTTGCCTTTTATGTTATTTTCTTTTTCCGTCTCCTTGACCAAATATTGGTATTACATTGTTCTCACATTATTGAACTCAACGAAAGAATGTAACCAAAAATTGTATTGTGAACATGATTGAAAAAGAGTAACTTATGGAGTTTCTTGCTCGTTCTTCTCCATAGGAATCTACACTTTGGAACGAGCAAATAGCTTCACTAGAGGACTGACTTACAGACTGACATTTTTTTCTTATTATTTAATATTTAAATATTTTGTTGTGACGTTCAAAAGTGCCTTCCTGGTCTAATTGAAATAAATGATTTTGACTTTGACTTTAAAATTAAGAAACGACATTTAATGTTTTATTCTTCCATAAATTCTTTAACGCAAAATTCTTATAATATTGACGTTTAAAACAACCAATAACTATTTGACAATAGTAATCAATTCAAAAATTAAAAAAAAAAAGAAAAATATAAATAACAAAAATATTTACACCTTAAAAAAGTAATTGTAATATGTTATGAAGTCGGTTAACGACACTGAAAACAGGTACTATAATGAACTAAAGACTATTATTCCGTTATCAAATAAAAATGAATATTGTATTCTGAAAAATACACTATCTGACAATAAGTACCCTGTCATTACAATGTCTATTGACATGGCGATAACTACCGATGCGTCTAAATTCGCGCAATACAACTCATGAATATAGTTAGGCCCCTGGCGCGGCTTGAAACTAGTCGAGTTACTTTGTCGAACAGTTAAATAAACAAACCCTATTACATAATGAATTTCGTATCTCAAGTCTTACGATACGAATACATAAAACCAGATTTTAAAAGTAAACTACAGATTTTTGAAAAGCCTAAAAAGCTTACCTCATCAATTATATCAAAAGCGTCCACAAGTCCAACGGCATTAGGTCGAATTTTTCTCAGCAACTCTTCGTACCAAGACCTTAGTTTCACTACATCGGCGCCCGAAATGGATGTATACTGTAAGTAATTAGACCTATTTTAAGCTGTAGGACTTTTGCTATAATTTTAACACAGGATGAATGACCATTATTATATTACGTATGATAATTTCTCAACTTAACCAAGCGACTGCCTCATTAGCCGAGTGATCGCATGTGCGACTGCCGGGCAAAGGGTCTCGGGTTCGATAACCGGGTCGGGCAAATAATTACCGAGTTTTTTAAAAATCTCAGTAGTAGCACGGTGTTCTGAAATGTGCCCGGTATATGACAATAGGCTCACCCCCTATTACATGGGACTCATAACATAAATAGTGAAAAGTGGGTGTTACATTGTACAGTGGCATTAAGTGCCGTAATGTATACTTCTGCCTACCCCTTCGGGGATAAAAGGCGTGATGTTATGTTATATTTAAACCAGCTTAAATCCAAATTCATTGTCAAACACAATGTACAGTGTACATTCTGTACAATCCAGAACGGTCACTGACCTCTAAAAGATCCCCGAGCCTCTCCAGAGTCCAGTACACCGCGTATAATTCCACGAGCTGCCCCATCACCTCCGCTAGTGATGCAGACATACTCCTCATTGCTTTCGACATGTCCTCGTGGAACGTAGAGATCACTATCGCGCGGCAATGTGACTGGAAATACAACAAAATAGTACCTAACTAAGTATCTGAGAGTCATGAAACATCATCAGCATCAACAGCCTATAAATGCCCACTGGTGAGCAAAGCCTCTTCTCACACGGAGAAGGTTTGAGCATTAATCACCACGCTTGCTCTATGCGGGTTGGCGATTTCAAACTTATAATTAGAAATTATAAAACCAGGTTTCCTCGCGAAGTTTTCCGTCTGAATAATCTTATCATGAAATACATGACTGATATTCGGAAAAGGGTTTAAAACCCCTAACTTATTAGAGGTAGACTGTGCTGTGTCGCAAATATTGCATACTTTAAGGCTCAGTACTACCAGAACTTTAGCTACCACTCAAAAATCTATTATCTGACAGAGAATCGTTTCCAAAATTTTCCATTCAGCTTTTAGGGAACAGAGAGTATAGTTCCCTAAGATCGGAGAAGGAGGATCCTTCGACCAGGCGAGGTGATCGTGCCTGGCGGGCTTTCTGCCCGACAGTTGTTCGTTGGAATTTTCTATCCGTGTTTATTCGCTTGTAAACTTTACATGTGCCATGTAGGATTTTGTGACGTCATCCATTGACATGAAACATGTATCGCAACAAGCTAAATCAAGTGTTATCAGATATACACCTTTCCTTATAAGAAATTGTAATTAAGTAAATGAAAAAAATAAGTAGTTACCTCTCCAGCTGAAACTAATTGTATAGATATTGTGTTCCACGCATCTGCTTGAGACATCCCGGACATTACTTTTGCTGTCATTAAATTTAAACACGAAGATATTTTCCTGTGAACAAACAAATAAAACATAGAAAACGGATATTACTACAAATCCCATATTAACTTGGTTAAGTAAACTCACTTCATAGAGACTATTTGGAATCCTCTAATGATGCCTTCGATAGAATTTTCCCATTTGTATGAGAATCCTGGAGCGGAGACAGTCTTCAAGTATTCCACTGTAGGAGTCAGTGGACCAGTATCGATCTGTCGCCATGTCTTCAATAGGAACCTGTGGATATCACCCAGGCTTGTTGAAATATGTAAGTATTATTTAGGAACAGTAACTATAGGTTTTGTAAGACCGGGAGCAAAGCAAAATATTTTTTCCTAATATTATTTAAAAAAAACGTTGCTACTAGGATTGTCTCCTGTGTCGTCATTTATTGACGTTTCAAAAGTACAAAATTATGGTTTAATTGAAATAAACGCTTTTGAGTTTGAGTTGCGCGGCAGAATCAGAAAACTCCCGGTGCGGTTTTCTGATTCCTTATCCGCTAACCATTCATGTCGCAAAGCCTCTCTTTTTACCATGCTTAACTAATATAGACACATCAAAGTACTGCAGTCGATCCAATCTTTTGAAGTACAAAGTTCCCAAACCTGGCAGTCTGCAGCAGCAGTACAGTGTTGTCTCCCTCGTAGGTGCAGGAGGCGGTGGTGAGCGCGGACGTGGCAGGCAGGGTGGACGACACCATGTACCCGTGCCCGCCGCACGACACGCGACATCGCGCCGTGAACAGCGACGAGTCGCTAGTACTTATAGCTTTGAGGCAACATGCTAGGGCGTGCAACTGGAAGCATAATAGGGAACAGTAAACTAAATAGTTAAGAAATTAAAACAAATTTGAAGCAAATCCAACTTAAGTATGTGACAAAACAAATGCTGAACTCCAACGGAGAAGAATAAAAAGTAGAAGTTGATCAAAAAAAGATGGATAAATTACGTAAAGAGTGGAAGTAAAATGTATGCTGTAGCATGACATCTAATGGGTCTAAATGAAAAAAGAAAGTATAATTTGTGTGGACCCCAAGTAATTTTGAGTAAGAGCATTAAGAAGAATACATTGAATCTAATAAACGTGAGTCAACTCAATTGACCTGCCAAGCTTTATTATCATTCAAATACTCACCTCTCCTAATCTTTCCATATTTCCTTTGTGCAGCTGGTCATTAATGACATTGAAGGTGTCCCACAACATCCTCGCGTTCATCTTCATAGCAAAGCAACCAGCTATCGCGGTTAATATCTTGTCTTGTTGCGTCACGTAGTCCAGGATCTGACGCTCTGGTTCCCTGAATAATATATATATATATCGGTAATAGATCTTTTATTATTTGTAATAGTAGTTCGTTATCTCAAGTTCAATGCAATATAGTTTATTATTAGATACGATGCTGCTAAGCTATGCTGTAAGACAGGGCTGTCCAAACTAAGGCCCGCGGCATGTGGTCCGCGGCATACATTTTAATCTCAACATCTTAATCTTGTGCCTAACAACAATAATAAAATTCAGTGTATTATTTGTAAGCAAGTTTAGAGTGTTAGTAAATAAAACAATGATAAACGTCATTATATAACTGAAAATATTTTTCTCGCCCAGCTTTTGAAGAAATTTAACTAACGCGCGAAGGTATATACCTTCACAACTATATAGTTGTGACAGCCCTGCCGTAAGATGTCAATTCGAACTCCCGAAGTGAGCTCGATCGCAATCGCGCCTGTCGTTGGTCGAGATTATTCTCACAACCAATGTCATGGTGGACCGTGATCGAACTCACGTCTAGATTTCGAATTGGCATCTAACAGAATAGCTTTGCTGATCACTAACCAGCAGGTGACTTGTCTGTTCATTCCCACTATCTTAAAAAAAGTCAATAAAACCTATTCAATTGCTGCTCACCCTTCCTTCAGCTGCGACTGCCTCCTAACAGCAGAGTACCGAGTAGCAACAGTGATGGCCTTCGCCAAGTAATTAACTGAATCAAACACTATCACCACTCTCACGAACACCATGGCTCCGTAGATCAACTTGCTATTCTTAGATTTCACATACGTTCCATCCTGAAATAACAACATAACATCACGCCTTTTATCCCTGAAGGGGTAGGCAGAGGTGCACATTATGTCACTGTACAATGTAACACCCACTCTTCACTATTTATATTATGATTATGAGTCCCATGTAGCCTATTGCCATATACCGGGCACAATTCCAGACTCCGTGCTACTACTGAGATTTTTTTTAAAAAACCCAGTAATACTTTGCCCGACCAGGGAATCGAACCCGAGACCTCTTGCCCGACAGTCACTCTTCGACTTCGTCTTGACCACTCGGCCAACGAGGCAGTCAACAAAAACACAGTTGTTGAAAAAACTCTTTAAAAAATGTTGTCTTAATGATTTCTTTCGGTTAGCGGTTTGTAAAATACGACGAAATAATTATGTTGGTCATCCAGAAATAAATTCCAAAATATGTGGTATGGGAACAGGAATCTCAGAGTTAAGGAGTCAACTCATACCAACACTAGAGCAAAAACCACAGATATATTTTTAATATTTCAGTGGCAAAAACTGTTTACCTCCAAAATTTTCGCATGTTTCATCAGCATGTTAGTCCTTGGTATCCTGACGTTTTCGAAGCCTATGAACCCATTATTGACTGCGTTGAGTCCCATCTTGACTCCGATCTCTCCGACCTTGATCCCTGGTAGTGGCATGTGGGTGTCTTCGTCTCTAACCTGGACGATGAAGGAGTGGATGCCATGGCACTCTCCCTTGGAGTACAGCTGGGCTATCACGATGCAATAATTCGCTGTGTTCCCCACTGTTCAAGGTGGAATAAAGTGATCATTTTGTACTCTAAAGTCTCAAAGTAGATTGTCCTATCAGACATGGAACACGCCTTGGTAATATTAATATTATACTATTACTAGGGACCAGGCATACCTACTTTATACCTACCATCTATCAAGGGTACAAAATGTTCTGGCTGCTAAACAAGGAATCTACTTACATCCTCCAGGCCACCATTTGTAGGAAGTGAGGGTTGGACTATGTAACACAAACTCCTGAGTGGACGGGTCATAGGTGGCAGTTGTCTCCAGACCACGAATGAAGGTTCCATGGCCAAGTTCAGTCTAGAAAAATTTACAGACCAATGATAACCAAAACACCCCGTGGCTAAGTAAAATATATCTAACACCTATTTTCTTTTCGTTATAAGTTCCGTACGTTTATATTCGTAAAGTCTACTCAGGTTTCATTATTTTTGTAGTCATTATCAAAATTCTCAGCTAGAACACATCCACTGCTGAACAATAAGGCCTTCCCCTATCTCCATTTGATCGCAATGTTCACATTGTGGTGATTTAAGTTCAGTTTTTAGAGTTTCGAAAAGAAAAACTATCGTTAACTCTCTTTTAGGCACGTGCAACTCTTTGTTTTCTTGCACCTTTCTTACCTGAGCGTAACTCCCAATAATTGAGCAGTTTAGAGCTCGATGTAGCCATCTCTCTTGTTGTTCCTCATCTGCCTGACTCATGAACACCGGCATGAACATTATGTAATGCAAGCCAAATGGTGATCCATCTTGAGAAATAGAAGCACCAAGCACACCACTTAAAAGGTTCCTGTAAAAGAAATGAAGCATAAGTAATGTGCCTATTGGGCTGATTGGGATACGATGACGATTACCATTATACGAAATGAAAATCATCAGCCAAATTACGACGAGTTAAAGAAAAGATTCACAAAGAAAATTCAACAAAACTCTAGACATTTTGCAAATATACCAAAAATAGGTACCTGTAATTCGTAAGGTCCGTATTATTTTCCTCTTGTATTTTACGAAGTAAGCTGAACAGAATGACAGCTTTCCGCGTTGAGTTTTCGTATTTCTCTTTATGGCTTAGATATTCGTCTGGAGTCCCACCGAATAATTCCTCTCGTTTAGTCAACATTACCCTTTCTGCAAATGAAATCAAAGTGGCGTTGTTGGTCTTCATTTAATGAAATTGTAAATAACGTCAGAAACAAGATGAGAATTGCCAATTAATCATGCATCGTCACTTGCGGACACAAATTAAAAATTGCTAGGGCTTCTATCTCTACACAAAAGTTCAGATTGAATATAAAAAGGGACCGTACTCTGGCATCAACATCACACATTCACCAATCTTCCTTCAGTCACCAGCTACTACTAAACACTTCAAAATGAACAAGATCTTCTTCCTCATCGTCTTCGTGGCTTGCGTCTGCTTGTACGCTGAAGCCCAGCTGACGTTCACGTCCAGTTGGGGTGGCAAACGAGGCAGCGTTGCTACAATGCCATGCAAAAACGAAGAAGCTGTGGCTACGATCTTCAAGTTAATCCAGAACGAAGCTGAAAGGTTCATCATCTGCCAACAAAAGCCTTGAAAACAAGAAACCAATGAAGATTCTTCTGCCGACGGTACTGCATTGTTGTAATGGACTTGTCTTTTATATTGTTGTACTTTTCGTTTGAGTATAATTATAATGAAGCTTTGCTATTTCTATAGAACATTTTTATATATGATGGATTTCATGTGTTGGTTCTTGGACTACAGCTTCAGAAGTTATAAACCTATGATATTTTCATTGATATTATTATGGACTAAATGCACTGGAGTGATGTATAGAATAGCACTAGCTTGAATGCTGCAAATTATTTCTCTGTATTCTGATTTCTGATTAATAAAACTTGTTATGTATTGTTACCGTTTTTTCTTGTTTCATTTATTAACCAAAAATGTTTTTACATTTTCGTCATCAGGCTAAATATCGGCATACACTAAGGCCCTTTCAATAGGTAGGCGGTACAGGGATCGCAGTTAGAAAAAATATAAGGAATGCTACCGGCCGTATCGCGAAGATTTACTGCACTGGGACTTCAGTCTGTTAAGTGCTACTACAAAAGTTTCGTTTGTATGATTTTTATACACGTTTCCAGGGTAAGAAAATTAAAAATCAAACGAATCTGTTAGTTAGATAATTAAAAAAATATTAGACACGTAGTTTTTTATTTTTTCGTATAAAGCTACAATACTTCAATAAAATGGAGTTAAGTGGGAGGTTGTTACGTCACAACGTGCTACATTTTGTAGAACGCTGTGACGTCCCACGACATTTCAAATCAATATATCGTCGAAAGCAGTTAATTTTGTGAGAAAAGAAAAAATACATGCCTAAAGTTTTAAATTAATCTACCAGACGGACATTAAAATAAAATTTAGGAAACTACCCTATTTCGCTCCTATTGTAGTGGGCCTTTGGCTTATCACATTTTCAATTTTATAGACCCAGTTTCACCATTTCATTTGAAATCGGTTAAAAATACATAACATTACCTATATCGTTACATACTGCAGTAGTCAGTACCATTTCTACGGAACGTTAGGAGTCTTTGCTTGACCCCAAGCGATCTTTGACAGTTGATCCGTTACAGTAAACGCAGAATAGGTACCTACGTTACTTTCATTTAAAATCGCATAATTAAATGTTGTTTATTATGTAGATATACTTAATTCATAATTTTGTTTTATAACGAAAACACTAATATAAGTAACAGGTTCATAGCTATTATAAATGATAGTTAGGTGCTAATACAAAATAGATTCTGTATAACATTATTAAGTAGAAATAGAAACAAAACTTGCGTATTGCAAATATTGCAATATTGGATCCTTGGACTAGGATTGCATCCAGTGTGTAATAGCCAGGATAATCCCTATTACAAACAAGGACTTACCCTTCATAACACTAGACATACATAATAATATGCTACCCGATTATATTGTGTAGTGTGTACTAAAGTTTTTATTTTTTAAACCATTGGTTTCTACCTTTATTCATTTATTCATTAACTACGAGTTTGTGAGAGATTTTTCTAATATTAACATACATATTATTTTAACAGTAGGTATATTTCAAAGTTTCTAGATTCGGCTTAAGAAATATAAAATAAAAGATAAGGAACACGTTTTAACTAATAAGTGATGTAGATTTTGTGGTATAAAATATGTCAAGTACCTAACTAGAAACGAGTTTTTAAAGAACTTGCAAGAAGTTACATCAGTTCAGTTACTTAAATACCTGCCTTTTTTTAAGGGTGGAAAATCATCGAATGACTGCTCCCGCCTGGGTGAGGAGGGAGGGAGTGTCAGACTCTTACTGACTAAAAACCACCCCGTTCCTTCTCCTGCACATCGAGCCGGAGCCCCGGTTACCCGTTAGGTTCTCCGCGACTCCGAATCGACATCGGCCCTATTGGGCCCCATCTGTGGTGGTCTGATGGCTCTTTGAGGCGCGCGCGGAACGCGACGCGCCGTACGCTCGGGTCTGTTTCTGGTCGGACGGGGAGCCACCCATGCTCGCCGTCCGCAGGCCCGCGCTTACGGTGGCCGGAGATCGTCCCGCGATCCCCGACGCCCGGTGTGTCCTTCGCGATGGCTGGGTTGCGAGGAGGCAGCGCTTCGCTGCCTCACGCGTCCCGCCTCCTCCTTAGCTAGCATGACTGCTTCGCAAAAGGAGGAGACGGCATCCCAATCCCCCTCGCTCCGCATCATGGCCTGCACTAGGCCCGGACGCGAGAGGTCGCCATCGCCGATCACTTCCCTGAGGACACGGCGGTGCTCAGCCCACGAAGGGCATTCTCCCACCGTGTGTTCCACCGTGTCCTCAGGGCGGTCCTCGCAGTGATGACACCCGCTAAAGACGTTACTTATTTACTTACTTAGATATGTAGGTATATAAGGTGTTAAAAAAGAAGCTGCAGGTAATCTAAGGATTTGTTGAAATATTTATTCCATAATTAGTCACGAAAAAATAATTTAAAAATAAGCTACCGTTCTAAAGTTATTCCACTATTTGCGTTACACGTAAACAGACTAATATGCGCGCCGTACTAGGCCGTCGAGCGTCGACGAAGCCCTGCGCGGCCGCGCTGACGCAGGTGTCGCGCTACCGCGCGCTTATGTTACTTTTGAACTTAAAAATGTTTCATTTTAATAAACGACCACGCGACTTGGTTTAGATTTTGTTATTACAATGAATTGATATGCTACTGAAATTAAATTAGCATAGCAACAATTATTAATAATGTTATTTTTTTTAATAGGTAAATACTCGAATAGAAACAAATACTTAGGTACTCTGTATTTATCATTTACGAGTATTCATTGGAATAAATGCACGTCTCTAGATACTTAAGTATAAACAAAGCGTCTTTACCTTATTTACAGAAGATGCTGGAAGTGTCTTCCGCCTTGTTCGATGCACAAGTTTGCACGACGAATTACATTGTTTCTCACTCGCAATAATGTGTCTCTGTCACTTTTAACAATATCAAACGCGTTTATTATGCGCATTTTCAATTCGTCCGCGTTTCTAATTTCACTACCACTGTGGCCGTAAACTAAGTCCTTAACACGACCCCAAAGATAAAAATCTAAGGGAGTGAGGTCCGGGGATCGAGGTGGCCATGCAATCGGTCCACCGCGGCCTATCCAGCGATTTGGATAGGCAACATCTAAATAGTCGCGAGCTACTCTGTGATAGTGGGCTGGAGCTCCATCTTGCTGGTAATAATGTCCTCTTATTTCAGCAAGAGGAACATCTTCCAACATTTCTTCAACAGAATGGAGCAATTGAACATATGTTTCTCCGTTGAGGCGTTCCAAGAAGACAGGACCAAGTACCGTATTCCCTATTATTCCAGCCCACACGTTCACTGAGAATCGGTGCTGAAAGTGGTCAGGGATCACGGCTTTCGGGTTTTCGTACGCCCACCAGTGAGCGTTGTGAATATTGAACAATCCAACTCTGGTAAAAGTGGACTCGTCTGTCCACAAAATGTTGCGAGTTGGGTTTTCTATTAGCCACTCACAGAATCGACGGCGTGGTTCGTAATCTGTAGGTATTATCTCTTGAACCCGCAAAAAGTGATACGGGTGCTGGCCTTCTTCACGGAGCATGTTCCATACGGTAACGTGACTTATTCCTAAGTCACGACCTGCGTCGCGTGTGCTCGCGTGTGGATTCTCGTGGAAGTAGTCAAGTATTCGTCCTTCAATATCGCCGGAAAACCGCGGCCTGCCAGTATCTGCTTGGGGAGGACGAAACTGACCATAATCTAGTAAACGCTGGTAAGCTCCCAGGATTGTCTGCAAAGCCGGTACTCGTCGTTGAGCACCATACAGTTCCTGGTACATAGTACGAGCTGCAGATAAATTTTGGCCACTTCTAATGTAACACACTATCATGTCTAAGTACTCGCGGTTACTGTACGTAAACGGCATTATTGAATAATAAACAATAAAAAATGGCGCGTGCGATTGATCGGACACAACACTGAATGACACTGAACGACACTGAGCGATACACCATTCCCGCGCAACAGCCATCGGTCAACTGGCGAACTCGATCGCCAGGCGATCGAGTGAAAGAAGTGAGAGAGATAGCGCGGCAACTAGCGATCGGGAGAGAGAGAGGGAGAAAGAAAGAGAGATTGTGATAACATGGGGCCGGTGACGGAGCGCCGTAACTTCGCTCGGGCCGCAAGCGCAGCCCCGCGTACAGATTGCACAAAAAATTTTAACGAACTCCTTTATTTTTGTTAAATTATAAGTAATTTAATTTTTAATTTTTTTTTTGATATACGTGTCTATTTACTGATTCCCACCAACCTCATAAAATATTTAGAGCGAATTTATTAACACCTTATATAGGTATAGGTATTACTAGTTTACGAGTAGGTAGGTAAAACTACGAAATATGAAAGTACATAAACCACAAGAACTAAATATTTACCTACATCTGTCATTCCCTAAATCGGCTGTTGGTTTTCGGTATCCCCCATGGTATCACCAGTCTACATATCAATCAAAAAGCACATTCCTGCCGGCAATATACCTACTACTAAATATCTGTTTAACTGAATCTGTGAGACTGCAGATAAATTTTTGCACTTATCTATAGCTAGATACTAACATTTGTCTCCAGTCGCACCACATTGGTACTTATCGATCGATACCAGTTTTGTCACAAACATAACTATAAATAAGTACATAAAATTGAAAGTATAGTTAAGTTTACAATCAAAAGTTCATTTACCTCTTTCCTTCCTCTCCAAAGTCTTATCTTTCCCGCCATCCAAAAAGTATGTCAACTCTGTCACATTAAAAGTGCACTTTGCTCTCTCTTTAATTAAATCCTTATTTACTTCACCGATACCCATTTCAATACTAGGAACAACACGTTCTACTTTAAAGCGTATATTTCAATGACTGTCCGATGAGTGGGAGCTGTTGACACGCGAGCGCGCCAAACAATGCGCGCAAGCCTATTACTTACGATACGTACGGATAAACTGAATGTCCAATAACTTGAGTCAAAAAAATTATTTGCAAAAAATTTGCCCAAGGCCTGCTAAATACAGAGGTTTTATTAATTGGTAGGTAACTAGTTAGCATTATAACGTAAAAGTTAGCATTATGACTTTCTTGTAAGTACCTGGCCATTTTTTTTAAGGGGGGAACTTCATCGATTGACTGCTCCCGCCTGGGTGAGGCGGGAGGGAGTGTCAGACTCTTACTGACTAAAAGCCGCCCCGTACCTTCTCCTGCACGTCGAGCCGGAGCCCCGGTTACCCGTTAGGTTCTCCGCGACTCTGAATCGGCATCGGCCCCTATTGGGCCCCATCAGTGGTGGTCTGATGGCTCTTTGAGGCGCGCGCGGAACGCGACGTGCCGTACGCTCGACTAAGCACCTGGCCTAGTTTTATATTTATAGTGGTTAACTTAGGTACTACCTGTGGGTACTACCGATCGACTAACCTTCTGCATTTTTTTTCTTCTCTTGTAATATCTTCTGATTCACTTCGTTGCGACAAACATATTAGAAGACTGATAGACCGGCCTAGCCTAGTGAGGGAATCGAACTAATCGGTTCAATTCTTAGACAAGATACAACAATAATGCCGCGCAAAATTCCACTCTGTGCTATTATTATGTAACTTTCGAAAGCGAACCTGGAATACAGACCGGAGGTTAAAGAATAAGCCAGGTCATAATGCCCAGCTAGGCTATTCTGTATCTTTCAATTCGAAAGATTCTAATGAACTCAATCGCAGTCCGCCATGTCATCAGTTGCGAAAAATTCTCGACCAATGACGGGGAGTATGCGAACGACCTTACTTCGAAAGTTCTAATTGTCAGTGACATTTTTGTTTTGGGAGGGAAGTTTGGGCGTCCCGGTAACTCTGTGTAACCCATCAACGCTAGGTTTTTGTGACGACGTGGTAGGTATCGCTCCGATCGAGCAGCCTTATTAGTGATGAAAATGCACCTAGGTATCTATTGTACATACATTTAAAATGAACAACTTAGAAGTTGTGGCGCTGGTGGCACGAAAATCCCGAACTTCTATAGAAGTGCTTGGCGGTGAAAAGGTTAACTGTCGTAATAGTCTAGATTCCAGATTCCCACGACCTGAATGACATTTACATTAAATAATAGTGTTCATTTCCCGTCAATCTAATGCATATTACTATGCCCGCGGCTTGGTATGCCAAAGGGTCAGTAAGTAATACACATATAATACACATAGTGCGTTAGTATAAGTAGCAATAAGCATTTATCTTCTTGATATTTTCTGACATTTACTATTTACTGCATGCGCAGAGACCCGTCAGACTGGGCGCTGGGCAACGTGTCGCGGGTTCGACTTTACGTAAAACCACCTACCGTAAAACGTTCGTTGTTTAAACGTGTTCCATTGGTTGATTCGTGTTTATAAACGCACCAACCACGGCTACCGCCCAACGGCTAGATTTTGTTGCAAGGTAAGCACAAGTACTTAGTGGCAAAAATAAAAGACTCAAATGGACCCAAAAAAGTAATTTATTGGATCATATTTTTTTGAATTAATTACAAAGTGTCGATCACTTCTTGGCTGTGACCGCGGCCTCGTCTTCCCGCGCGAACGTCTGCAGCAGCTCCTCCTTCTTGGCGGCGATACGCTCTTCACGTCGCTTGCGCGCCTCCTTGACCTTGTTACGGCGGGCCTCAGCCTGGTCACTGGAATTAAAAAAGTTATTAAACATAAGTGAAATGATTATAAGGAATGCAATGTGAGAAAAATGAATGTTAGATTCACAACTATTCAAAAGTAGTTGGTTACCCAGAAATGCTATATCAGCAAACTGTCGTGCGAATAAGTCATAGAAAAAGACAAGTAATCAACTATAACAGCAGGCAAAATCTATTTTACAGAAGTGCTGACTAAATTTTAGCTCTAGTATCAAACTAAGAGTAGTTGTACTAACTGCTTGAATATGAGACAATAGAAATTATATTGTGTCTCACGTTTGGAACATGATGGGCTATAACTTAACAAGAATAAATATCTTCAAAGTATAAAGTTTGCAATTCTTACCTAAGCATCTTAGTCCTAGCCTTCTCAGCCTTCTTCCTGTGGATGTACTCCATAAGTACACGCTTGTTCTTGAACACATTACCCTTTGCCTTCATGTACAGGGCGTGGTACAGATGCCTGTCGATCTTCTTGGCTGTTCTGTACTTAAGGAGCAGTTTACGGAGAACCCTTTGTCTTTGTACCCAGAGTTCCTGGATAAGAGAGAATAATAAGAGTAAAGTTAGCATCTATGTTAATTGCAATAAGTTCCTTTTGAAAGAAAATCAGAAGTTTGCTAGCTGCAGCTAAAGGAATTGCTAATAATTCTAAAATTCTTGAAAAGAAGTCATAGAAGTTGCAAAATATTACTACTTAACTAGTGTTACCAATCCAGAGATAAATATGTCTGACATAAACAAACTTCAATAACAAATGAACAAGAATATTGCACAATAATATGAAAATATCAACAATGAGGTTATTTAGTTTTTTGACTTTTATGCAAAGATTTACAAACTTTTATAGCAAAATACAACTAAACCTTAGGAAACATAAATGTAACCTGAAAATTAATAAAATAAACATAGAAAAACTCACCTTCTGGGGCATACGGGCATTAGCAGTACCTCTTCTCTTACCGAAGCCACAGTGACGTCCCTTTCTGCGGGCCTCTGTGTTCTTGCGGACGCGAGCACGTGAGTGTACCGCTACAGGCTTCTTGATGACGAGACCATCCTTGATCATCTTACGGATGTTCTGTCCTGGAAGATTATGAGGAAGTTTCAAAGCGATGTTGGTGTTACAAGTGAATTAATGTAGATAAAGACAGTGAGAGAAAATTAGTTGATGTGAACTCTTAGGTGATAAGAACTTGAAAATTTATTAAATAGATTGCATTTTCTAAAATTTAAACAATGTAGATGCGAGGTATGTCATTGTAAACTGTGATATTTGAAAGTAATGTTTTTAGTTGCAGAGTGAACAACTTAAAAGAAAGGGGTACAAGTATGAAATATTTTTACGATTCAGTGCTGGATAGACCAGGTGGAGCTATGTAACTAGTCATACGATATGGCCAAAATCTTCAGTTTGAATGAACATCATTGCATAAAAATATGAAATAAATTCAGTATGTTGAGAAAATATTGTTATTGGGGCGATACTGATGTATTTTAACCTATTTCCTTTCACTAAACTTTGTTTACTACCTGTAAAAAATTTTCAACATGCACTCATGATCACGCCGCGCTTTGAAAATACGTGTGTGTACTTACTTGAGTTGGTATTTGCAATCTCATTGATCTCATTTGGATCAAGCCATACTTTCTTTTTACCGCATCTCATAACAGAGGCTGCAAGCCTCTTCTGTAGCTTGAGGGAACTGAAAACGAACAAAAATCCAGCATGACCACATGGCTGCGAAGTTCACCGATAAGATGTAATTGTTACAGAAAGTAATATATTCACTAATAAAACATATAAAATACAATTATTGAGCCACCGCAAACTTCTTATGACAATAATTATAGCATTTAACACTAAAAAAATAAATTATTTATCGAAACTAACCTCATCTTGACTAAGTGAGCTCCAACGCATACAAGAAAGAAAAATGGCTGACTCTGTCAGTGCGGGGTAACCACTTACTAAAAACTACACTATCTGATTTTAGTCGATTTGGTGTATCCCCAAATAAATTTTAATACGAAAAATCAATAAAAATCAAATAAAAATGCAATAAAAAAAATATGCATTACAAATTAATCGAAATAAACATATTAAATGGGAATCAATATTCAATAATTTGATTTTTGTATGTTTTTTTATAACATGGTATGTTATTTATTTATTTTTATATAAATTTAATAAATTTACAGTTAACAATTAACATTAATAAGAAACTGTTTACAACTTAAAATACACAAAAGTTAATAAAAGAAAACTAAAAATAACTATTTATACACAGAACATCAAAAAAAATTCGTCCGCATCGACGTTAGATGTATGTATGTTTTTATTTCTTTGATGGACCAACGTTTGGCTACTATCTCGTCTGGTGGTAAGCACTGATGCTGGTTATTAAATATAATGAATGTTCAATACGATCTAGAAAGTTTATTATAGCATTAAAAAGTAAAGAATTAATTTATTGATAAGATTGAAATGATTTATTCAATCGATGCTTTTTTGGCTGCGTTATTTATTTGCTTTTTCTTTTTCTAAGTCACGGACCAGGGGCGTAGTTAGCGACGTATGTATCAAATATCTGGAGCCTTCCCTAAAACGTGCGTAACCAAACTTAATAAAACCTATCCAATATTTTATTTCAGTACTGACAAAAGTTTTACCGCGTCAAGCTTGGTAAAAACTTTACTAAAACTAAAATAATCATAGTAAAATTCGTACCTGGAAAGATATTAAAGATATTCATATTATCATAAAAAAAAAATTAATGCAAAGAAAATCTCTTGCGAGTTTTTACCATAGTAGTTTAAAAGGTTTGCTTACGTTTAGTTAGGTGCTCCTTGTTTTTCTGCATTATTGTCACTGTGGAGAAAGAGTAGGAAAGTTTCTAGTTTAGTTGTAGTTAATTTTAAGTGGTAAATATTTATGTATAATCAAAAGAAACAAAAAAGTATTTCAGTTTTTTTCAGTGTTGGTCACACAGATTGTAATTGTCAAATTGTTTTTGACAAGAAAACTGTCAAACTGCCTGAAGAAATAATGAACTTGTTGACGTATTCAAAACAGAAAATGTTCTACAACAATTTCAATCAAACAAATCATCAGCTGAACAATCCCTAATATTTTATATCAAATTCTATTATCGTATTTACTATGTGTAAAATTATTTGTGCAACTAATTGCTAACACAATATGGATTTCTACGAATATTAACTATAGTATTTCAAATAACTATTTCTTTGTTATTATTTATTTTGTGATAAACAACTGTAAAACAGACAAAGAATCAAACTAAAAGTGCAATAACATTCGATAAAATTATTTCGTAACTCAGAAGTAAAGGTGACCGTCAAACTGCGTTAACTATATCGGAGATATTGGTTTATTGGTTAGGCAATAACTAGATAATCAAAACTTGTTTTTCTCACCCAAAACTAGCGAGATTACGTTTGCCGCGTCAAGTGAATCTCGATTTATCGTGTGTCGAACTGTCGTCAGTCAGTAGCTCGCGTTCGTCCGCGCGGGGTTGTCGTGTCTTTCGTGCGTATTTGTATATTACGACACAAAATGAGCAAATCCACGAGTGTTAACCCAGATTTACAAAGAGAAAGGGAAAAATGCACCTTTAACATAACAGAACTTACTAATTTGTTGGATGGCGGCCCACATATGACTGAGGAAAGGAAAAGAAGAGGTAATTAGCCTATAGTTTTTATACCACTGTTAAACTACTGGTACACAAATAACATGTATAACAAGATTTTTTAATGGAATTACTAGTTTGTTGAAGCTGAGAACTTAAACTTTGAACTTATACTTGTCTCATCTCTTATTTTTAAAGTAGTTATGTTATACTTTCTGCTTTTAGTTATTGTGTAATTTATAACATGTACTTACAAATATTACAAATAATGGTAATATAAACTGTCAAACACTGCGAGGACACCGGTGACCGCAACCTATTGTTCTTTTATTGTATCTATAATGACGGTACTCGACGAGTTAAATCATTAACTTATACACATGAGATTGTTTTTTATATTGACAGCCAGGAAACTTGAATATATGCCTTTTAAATGATCTTAATAAAGAATTTAACAATAGGCTGCATGTTTCACAAGTTTGTATAAAAAAGAAATGTTTTTATTAAATGTATTTCTACCAGGCTCACAGTTTCAATTACAATTATAATTTATTACAGTTTAAAATGTGTATACATTATGTGTTTAATGAAAATGAAATGTGTTACAAACAAAGCCATAAAAAAGAAGAATCAATAATAAACAAGTAACATTAGCTATGTTTAACAAAAGAGCCACTCTAGCAATTACCAGAGGTATTGCCTGCATGATCAAAAGAAAAAAGTAGCCTTAGTCACTCTCCAAGGCTTCAAGTCAGTCAGTCAACTTCTCGAGAAGTGGTTTGGTAATTTTTCCCCCTTAAACTGTCAAACACCAAGCGGTCACCGGTGACCGCAACCTATTGTTCTATAATTATTGTGTCTATAATGACGGTACTCGACGAGTTAATTAAAAAAAAAGTCATTCTCCAGCATGTTAAATCTTCTCTAGAGTTAATAATTTTGTACTAAAGTAGAACATTTCTGTAAGATAAAATATTTATAGTTCAATAACTTCAATAGTGTAGTTTTATCGTGTAATCAGAGTAAATAACATTACGAGAATGGTGTTATAAGTCCAAAGTTTAAAACATACTTGTAACCTCTGTTATCAAAATATGATTGTCCTCCTTGTTCTAAACTATTTCATATAGAATGTAATAAAAACTTTTATAATGTAGCTAATTCCTAACAATAACATAATAATGACTGCCTCGTTGGCCAAGTGGTCGCGAGAGTGACTCAGGCAAAGTAAAACATTGTCACTAGTAGCATGGTGTCTGGAATTGTGCCCGGTATATGGCAATAGGCTCACCTCCTATTACATGGGACTTATAAAAAGTGGGTATTATATTGTACAGTGGCACTAAGTGCAATACCCCCCCCCCCCCTTCGGGTTTATTCCGGAAAAAGTCGTGTTATTATGTTAAAACTAGTTCACTAGTGTACAATAAGGACCTACATAGAGTACTCCGTTCTATAGTACTTCTATAGTACATACACTTTTACCAATTATTAGTTCTATAGTGATGACCAGTCTGTTACTACAAAGACCATAAGACCAGAATAAAATTCAGATGTATATATGTTATAAGAGGATAAAAAAAAATGTACATACAAAAACTAAACAAAGCAATATAATAATACTTTGCTTTGATGGCAATGGACAAATGGCATAAAGGCAGAATTTCAATTAACACGTTAAACGCCATGGCAGTCACCGGTGGCCGACATTAGCGGAGGATTTGCCTTCAATAGTTTTTTATTGGCAGCCAATGCCTTAATGTTTGTTATAAGTCCATTGTAAAAAAAGTGGTAAGTTCCCTCAAATGAACAAAATATAAGGGCACTTAATAACATTCAGTCAGTCTTTGAAATAAGGTCTGAATTTGTATGATACTCATTTGTAGTAGGTACTAAGAACGTAAATTGTTGTAATCTGTAATTTTTGTGTGAATTTGTTTATAAGACAATTCAAAATACATAAGTATAATAAAATTGTAAAACGTGTCGGTGTCTGTACATGGAAGATAAATAAGAAAAACTTTATTACCCGAGCTTTATATACGCAATAGAACCCAAAACAATGATTTTTGGAATTTTTGTCTGTTTGTCTTTATGTTTGTTCGGGCTTATCTCAAAAACGACTTAATTGAATGCGGTTTTCACCATTGCGTTGCTGGGTTTAACATTTAGTCTTTGTTTTGTTTAACTCGTCGAGTACCGGTTTTGTAGACACAATTATAGAACAATTGTTTGACAGTTTAATAAATAAAATATGTATGTCAATCCAAAGAATTGCATCTTCACATCAATTAATGAAATCAATTATTAAAACTAAAGTGCCACAATATTGTTTTAATTCTTACCGTAATCAATATTTCATATTCAAGTCTGTTTTAACAGCTACTAGTTATTTTTTGAATTACTCAAATCGGACATTCCATTCAAAAGATATTAAACTCAAAGCGCAACGTTATAAATTTTTTCGTAGTTTCCGTTTAATTTCGCTAGATGGTGCTGTACCTAACGTCACAATCCTATATCGCGGTGTTAAGATTTTTGTGGAAATAATGACCCTGGCAGCTTTTTTTCGTGCAGGTTCCATTCCTGATGTTAAAACTGTTAAAAGTGTTTGGTTGTCGATGCGTTGGTGATAATTAATATTGTTATTGGGTCGTTTAGTCAAAAACAAATAGTAGCCCGCCTGTTAAAATTAAAAGTAGTCTTTTAAATATTTCAATTATTAAGGGATTTTATTATAGTGTTTTGGTTAGTTTAGTCTTTAGTTTGTTTTGTTGTGAATTTTCCTTTGTGTTAGAACCTACCTACGGCCTATGGCTACGTTGTAGGAATTTGACTTACCTACATACGTAAGGTATTAATTAATAACATTTTCTTAGTAAAATAATTAAGCAGTAAGAATAATTATGTTTGTTTTTATTTTATTTCAATCTCATCTTCACGCTTAAACTACTGAACCGATTTGGATGAAATTTTGTACAGACATAGTTTGAAACTCAAGAAAGGACATACGATAGTTTTCATCCCGGGAATCTCACGGGAGCGAGAACTTCCCGAAAATCGCTCGAGATCGGGAACTATTTGGGTAAAACTAACCAAAAAAAAATCTGCCAGTAGTCAGTATTCCACGCGGACGAAGTCGCGGACAGAAGCTAGTACCTATTATAATACAATTCAGAGATATTTTTCAAACTGAATTATTCATTTATTTTCATGTAAAGGTTATTAACCTCTGCCTTTGAGAGAGGTTTGATGCATGAGTCAGAGGTATTATTCGATTTCAGAATTTATATAATTATAAACAGCTCAGTCGCGTTATAAATGTGAAACTTTCTTGAATTTTTGTCCGTCAATCACGCTGAAACTACTGAACGGATTTTGACGAAATATACATATAAACATTGGTTTACATTGGTTTACTGGCAGGGTATGGGCTGACTTAGGTGATAGGAGGTATAGTATTTTATCCCGATGAAATGCTTCCATAGGAAACGATTACGCGGTCAATGCCACGGGTAAAAGCTACTAAACCAATAAGTATACTTCAACCTACTCTGAAATCGAAACTCCTTTCTCGGCAGTCGTGAACAATCGACCAATGTAGCGATTAATTATAATCAATTTTATTAGTTATAGAAACTCAACAAGTATAATTAGTACATCCTTGATGAGATTTATTAAAATCTTATCAAGTACAATATCAGTAAAAGAATTATTGATAATACATGTAGGTAAATAATATTTAAGATAAACCTATTAACTAAATTCCAATAATCTAAAGGTCAAACACTTTTCACGTATAATATTAGGTCATATTAATTATGTATCAAAAGCTAGGCATTGGCGTTCAAGTTTATGCATACTAATTAGGCACTAAAGACTTGTTTCTGAATATCTTATTAAATTGCTATGTATAAAGTATATATTGACACAACGAAAAACTTACATGTGAGTAGGGCTTAATTTGGTCCAGTTTAACCCCACTAAGACACGGGTCTGCGTGTTTACCGCTAAAAAAACTGCCGGTGGTCGTCTCTCCTCAGTTTCAAATCACCCCTCTAACTGCATCAAGCGGTATTGGAATACTTGGTTGTCAGCATTTCGAACGGCGTCCTGTCATCTGGAGTATAAGGCCAAATTAGCCTTGAGGAAGCTTGGTGGTTGGTGTGCTCAATAGATCGTGGTAGTATTTCACCCCGGCCCACTTGCTTCTATATAAGGCTCAGGTTCGGCCCCACATGGAATACTATTCTCATCTTTGGGCGGGGGCACACCAGTACCAATTTCTTCCTCTGGACCGTGTTCAGCGGCGTACCGTTCGGTTGTTGGATGTTGGGATGTTTCAAACCGGCTAGACACTTTGGCAATGTGTAGAGATGTAGCTTCATTGTGCGTTTTCTCTCTCTTTTAACTTAACTCTTCAGCTTTAAATGACGCTATGATCAACCGTGCGGAGCGGGTACAACCGCGCGATATATTTGTATTTATTTAGTAAAACATGAGTAATTACAATAAAGGTGTTTTTGGTTAGTATAGAGTCTACATGTTTTGCCATTTATGGCGATTTAGTAAAATCAATCAATTTAGTTAGACAGACAATACCAAAATTTTGAATCAATCAATACCTAATTAAAATGAAATGTTAAAGTTTGAATGAAAACCAAAATTAATTAGGTCTAATGTAATTGAATAACAATAAAAATCAAAAGTCAAAAATAACAAGTCCAACAGTTTAAAAGTCAACTGGTTACCTAAACTAATAAACAATGTCATTATGTCCACATTCAGGCTAAATTAAATTATACTAACAAAAATAATAATAATAATAAACAAACAATACCTACTTAATAATACATAAGATACAATAATAGGTATGTATAGCCTGCGACTTCATCCGCGAAGAATATGATTCCTGTTTAATCACAAGGGAGCATTTAATCGGAATCACCCCCTATCACCTAAGTTAGCCCATACCCTGCCTGTATACCAAATTCCATCAACATCCGTTCAGTAGTTACAGTGTGGTTGACGAAACATCGAAACAAAGAAACTTTCACAAGTATAATATGTATTATTAGGGTGATTTAAATACCACACATAACTAAAGTTGTTATTGTGTGAACATTTGTAAGTAAGTAATGTATAAGTAAACCTATGGACATGTAGTAATAGAGTTGTATTTAAATTCTAGTTAGTTATGGAACTGCAGATCAAAGTTCAAGTACTTAACAGTAAAATCTACGTGTAATACAGTTATTATAATGTTCTACAGTTTACATACTCATGAGCCATGATAGTAGGCTTTGAGGCCATGGCGACAGGCAGTTAATTCACGGTCTCAGTAAAAATAACAATATTATGCTTATTTGTTTCTGTTCTTCGGTTATTATCGGTCGACCAAACTATTAAGTATTGGTCTTTCCACTATTCCGCATTAGGTACATGGACCTTTTAATTACTGTCTGGTCGCAAGGCGACTTCTGGACAAGGGTTCTCCGGTCTCGAGTTCGACTCCCGGGTCGGGCAAATAAATACTACTGATTTTTTTTTCATCTCCGTATTAGCACAAAGTCTGGAATTGTGCCCGGTATATGGCAATAGGCTCACCCTCTATTACATGGGTCTTAATGTGCACCTCTGCCTACCCCCTCGAGGATAAAGAGCATGATGTTATATTGTATTAATTACTGCTGAAAAATGGGTGTTACATTGAATTTGTGCTCCTCTCTCAGTCTCCATAAGATTCAAAATGTTATTATGTTTATTTATGTATCAAAGACTAGCCACTTTGTGTCTAAAGTCCTCTCTTTCAAAATCTGTCTCATTACATCATAGATCAAAGTCCGATCGGAACTCGTTTTGCAAAAAGTTGTGTGATTTTCGCTAATACTGGTCAAGTTTATTGAGGTCCAAAGTGCAAGGTTTTTATTGAAGACTAATTTTGACCACAATTTTGGACGTGTATCTCGTTCCAATGTCTGTGTGAATCTTTGTAATCTAAATGGTTAAAAGGTAACTCCTGTACCTGTATTTATATGAAAATATGTCCTGAAAGAAGATATCTATAGTCTTTCAGCTTCTTCCATCCAACAGTTTCGACTGAGTCTTGTCTATTAGTAGTAGGTATTAGTCTATTAGTTAACGAAATTATTTAACAAGTCATTACACGAAAATAAACTCTTTTTACATAAATAAATAGGTACGTACTGTACATATTTTCGCGTAACACGTGTATTATTACGTCATACATGACCGGCACAATGTGGATCATCGATTGTATTGTAAATAATTAATCTATTGAGTAATTATATTATTTATTGCTTACATAATTATTGTGTAAAGTATTGTGCAAGTTAAATGTAGATGCCTACTAACTTTCTGCAACGATTCTAAAACTAATATAAGTACTCGAAGCCTTTTACTTCCCGTGGGTCGCGGAGAACCTAACGGGTTATCGGGGCTCCGGCTCGACGTGCAGGAGAAGGAACGGGGTGGTTTTTAGTCAGTAAGAGTCTGACACTCCCTCCCGCCTCACCCAGGCGGGAGCAGTCATTCGATGATTCTCCCCCCTTAAAAAAAAGCCTAATACTTCCTCCATTCTCAAATGGCCAGCGACTCATTTGTAAGGCCATCTCTGGAGTTGCAAGTGTTCATGGGCAGCGCCGTTTGCTTACTGTCGAAGGATGAGAATGTTCTAAAATAATCGAAGGCAGTTGTTACTCTTGTCCAACTTTGACATCCATCACTCATCCCTATTTCCATTCTTTGCAGAGACGATGGTACTGAATGAAGGCATCCACATCGAGGAAGTTCCTTCAGAATACTTGAGTCACAAGGAGAAGTATGAGCTAGCTGTGAAGAAAGCATGTCTCATGTTCAAGTTGATACGCAGACTCCAGGAGGAAGAGAACGCTGGCATGGAGAGCTTTAGGTGAGGAATTGGCTCTTCGTGGTTCTTCATGGTCATGTGCAAAACTACATAAGTATAGTTAGCGTACTTAAAGTGCTGGAGAAAGAATGCTGCCGTGTTCTGTGTTATTTTTTCTTAGATATCTAAATGAGGAAAGCTGTATCAGCCTCCAACACAAATACGGCCGCCTCAACGTGACCACGACCGCTCTCCCAAGAGCGAAACAACAGAGAAGAGAAGATGTAAATGAGCTATTGTCTCGTTTCTTAATCGTTGTTCTGTGAATTCTCATCTACAATGCATCTAGAGCAGGTTATGAAAATTGCCCCCTCTGACATGAGACTATTTTTAACCGGTCTCTCTCGTTTATGAGAAATCGTTACTATTCTAACACATACCTGCATCTAACTATTTAGCAAAATAAATGATTTAATACGTGTAGTAGCTAGTAGCTGTAATACAACAAATAATTTAATGACTGCACGGTTGGTGCGGTGGCTGGGCAACCGGCTACCGTGCTACGTCTCGCGGGTTCGATTCCCGCACGGAACAACACTTTGTGTGATCCACAAATTATTGTTTCGGGTCTGGGTGTTATTGTGTATGTGAACTTGTATGTTTGTAAACGCACCCACGACACAGGAGAAAATCCTAATGTGGGGCAATGTTTTATAAAAAGAAAAAAAAATAAGGTAAATGTTCTAATGACATTTCAACAGAGCATTCCTCGGCGGTACACTCGGCTCGGCTATCCTCCAGGACGGGTCTCCTCTAACGCTCCACTACGTTATGTTCATACCGACGCTGATGGGGCAGGCCACCGTGGAACAGCAGGCCTACTGGATCGGCAGGGCTTTCAACCTTAACATCATTGGCACCTATGCACAGGTTTGAAAAATTTTATTATTTAAGAAGACCTCGACGCCCGACGGCACAGTTGGTGCGGTGGCTGGGCAACCGGCGGCCGTGCAATGTGTCGCGGGTTCGAATCCCGCACGGAGCAACTCTTTATGTGATCCACAAATTGTTGTTTCTGATCTGGGTGTGATGTGTATGTGAATTTGTATGTTTGTAAACGCTCTTACAACACAGGAGAAAATCGTGGTGGGCAAAGATTTAAAAAAAATAATAAAGCTTAAGCTTTGACCGTAAATCGTACGCTTCAACTGTGTTTAATGACAGTTCTAACTTCTAATCAAGGGATAACAAAAAGATAGAAGCATAGACAAGTAATATTCGTGTGGCCAGGTCTAGTCCTACCTTTGTGCTTTGTTTATAAATATTGGACGTCGATATTGATACAAGTGTAATATAGACTAGTTTAAACATTAATGACTAAGGGCCGATATTTTAATCATTAGTTAATTCCTAACTGTGGAGTAAAATTGACATTTGACAGTTTTTAATATGAAAGAATTGTCAAATATTAAAGTAAGGATAAAATTTTACTGCGCATTGAAAAATCGGCTCTAAGAAAGTTATGCTGTATCTTAAGTTAGGTATAGGTACATTTTTAAGACTTTGACTGCCAATAAAAAACCGTTGAAGGTAAATCTTCCGCTAACGCCGGTCACCGATGGCCCCCATGGCGTTTAACATGTTAAAATAATGTAAGAAGGTAATTTTTTTTTTTACATATTACTTTTGTATGTTTTTAATTTTAGGTAAGATTGTTTATGCTGTATTTTTTTTTATATTTTGTTTTAAATTAGATAATGGCTACTTAGATTTAGTTTTAGACCTAAACTATCGCAATGAAGAAAACTGTAATGACATCTAGTTTTAGGTAAGGTTTTAAATAAATAAATGAATTGATGTCGTGACTACAGTAAAAATATAGACTGGTACACTGTGCCTACTGCATTATTCCGCCTATGCATTGTATGTGTGCATTATTAGGTTTTCTAGGTGGCTGGTCCCGCACAGAACATCTCTTTGTGTGATCCACAGATTTGTTGTTCCGGGTCTAGGTGTCATGGTGTATGAACTTCTATGTTTGTAAACGCACCCACAACACAGGAGAAAATCCTAGTGTGGGGCAATGTTTAAAATTGTGGGGCAATGTTTTGCCAACAGGCTAGTGCTGAAAATCAACGCCGCGACTCGAGCAATCGCGCTCGTGTCACGGCATTTAAGCTGAGCACTGGCCTTTTTGCACCGTGTACATACACTGTTGTTTTTTTTTTAACTATTTTTTCCTTTTTTTTCTGTAATGGTGCAAATAAACTGTTTTTCTTTCTTTATTTTTATAAAGAGCCACTAGGAGCTCATATTCATAAGCAGCATCCTTATCATAGTTCTTTAAAGAAAGAAACAAAAAAAAAAAACATAATCTTGTTATTTTGTTTCAGACTGAACTCGGCCATGGTACTTTTATTCGTGGGCTGGAGACGACAGCTACTTACGACGCAAAGACCAAGGAGTTTGTACTACACAGTCCCACGCTCACAGCTTACAAATGGTGGCCTGGAGGATGTAAGTAATACACATAATATATTTATTTACATACTTTATTGTACACCATAAAAACATACATAGAAAAATAAACATAAAAAGAATGTGTACAATGGGCGATCTTATCTTATTGGAAAAAGGGGGGTCGGCTAGTGTACAATAATAATCAAATCAATACATACATTATAATACTACCTATACCTACATACCAAATAAATATATACACTAAAATAAATATAACTACTATACATAAGTTTGTGTGCGTGTATATATTTATAGTGGTTCTGTGGTATGGAGTTTGATAATAGGCTTTGTCGTGACTTTGGATCTCCTTTTCATGGAGTTAATACCCACGTTTAACAGGCTAGCTATAAGTCAGTTTAAAGTTTTTTTATCAGAGATCGCCTGCTGCTCAGTCCGTGTTCCTTTATCGGCTTTTACAACGCCCTATAGACACGTAGATGTGATGACAAATAATATTCTACTGTCTTCAGACTGAAGACAGAGTAGAATATGATTAAAGTTACTTTATGAAATTCCAGCCGTTCTAGAATTTAAAGAATACGATTTATATTTGGACTGCCTCGTTGACCGAGTGGTCGCAAGTGCGACTGTCGGGCAAGGGGTTTCAGGTTCTATTTCCGGGTCGGGCAAAGTATTACTGGGTTTTTAAAGAAAACTCAGTAGTAGCATGGAGTCTGGAATTGTGTCCGGTATATTATGGCAATATGCTCACGCCCATGGGACTCATAACATAAAAAGTCACAGTCGCATTAAGTGCCGTATGTGCACTATGTTATATTTATCAACAAACTCCTCGGTCCATTAATAATAACGTTATCTATATAGTATTAAGGTTGATAAACGCGAAGGCACATAACTAGTTCAAAATAATAATCAAATCACGACATGATGGAGACTAAACATTATGATTAAGTAGTAGAACGTCGCTCTATATTTCAATTCAAATTATACTTTGTAAGTACTAAGTTATGGTAATTAGAATACAATTTACGGTTACTGACTTAATTAAATGAATTGACGTTGAAACTTCATCAACGGGACGACTAAAATATTATTATATTGATTGTGTGATCTATTTTCGACACGTGTATGGATATAAAAATAATTCTTTGAAATTACATAATACAAGCGAAAAACTCATAAACGGTTCAGCCATTTGTATAAACCTGTAATTTAAAGAAATCACAAAGAAAAATCTCTGCGATACTACGAAAACACGAGTGACTGAACAGTAAACAATAAAGTCTTCTGAAAATATCAAATTTTACATAATTTACGGAATTCTTAAATTATTCTAAACTAGCTTTTACCCGCGGCTTCGCTCGCGTCACAAAAGGATAGAAAGTAGCTTATGTGACATATACCATTACCAATACACACAGAGCCATCTATACCAATAATTTCGTTTTCTCTCGAGAATATCAAATTTTCCGGGATAAAATGTACCCTATTATTTAATCCAGACTTCTAACTTCACGTCTGCAAAAATTCAAAGCAATCGGTTTAGTAGTTACGGCGTGAAAGTGGAACAAACAAATTCACTTTCCGATTTATAATATAAGTAAGGATTATAATATAAGTAAGGATTATTCTAAATTCTTAATTCGAAATCAAAAAAAAAAAACAATAAAACTTTGCACGACCCTAAAACAAAACTCCTTGGTCAGCCGCTAAGTCAAAGAGATCAACTTTTTTAAGTTGTTTAAGTTAACTAAAGCCCTTACATAAAATAGGTAGCTATAATTATGTCGGTAGTCACGTAAAAGATACACAATGTACTCGGACAATGCCAATGTACTTTTGGAATTTGATAACACTATAATACAGATAACATATGTTTTGATTGTAAAATAATGTTTTAATAACTTGCGTGGAGATTAATAATATTAATATTCTTTAATTCTGGAAAGTTCTAATTAAGCGTAGGTACCTAATTACCTATCGCTTAGTTAGATAATGATTAATATATCTGTTGGAATTTGATTTGTGTTTGTTATGCTCTTCTAATGTTTTCTAATGGCCTTGTTGCTCGACCGCTTCCTAAACCAACTTTCAAAAGTGAGCCTTGTGTTTAAATAAGTAATACCTATATTACCCAGTTCCTTAATGTCCAATGCAGTAATAAAAATAACGAGAAGTATGGATTTATACCTAGAAATTTCAAAATGAATATGGTTACTGAAAATAAGAATAAAATAGGCGTGATGTAAAACCCATAAGTACATTCATATTTCATTTTTATCGCTTTAAAGTTCTTAGGACACATCCACACGACATATTATTTTATAGCTACTGGCGACGCATATAATCGAGTGTTTACTGCTCCATAAAATAACTTAAAGTCTGCAAGGAAATCTCTTTTGAAATGTCATGAACCGAAAGAAATCAAATATTTCTTTAAACATTTTTTACTCTGAGAAACATTGGAGAATTTTGTTCCATGTTCCAAATAAGAACAATTTGTATAAACAGAAAAACAATAAGTAATAATAATTTCGATATGAAATTGAAAAGAGAATTATACAGTATAATACACTACAAAATTCATTCCAGTGGCCCATTCAGCCAACTACTGCATAGTGATGGCCCAACTCTACACCAACGGCCAATGCCACGGCATCCACCCATTCATCGTCCAACTGAGAGATGAAGAAACTCACATGCCGCTCGAAGGCATCAAAGTTGGTGAGATTGGTGCCAAGCTTGGCATGAACGGCACCAACAATGGCTTCCTTGGCTTCGAACACGTCAGAATTCCTAGAGAACATATGTTGATGAAAAATTCTCAGGTTTTGGAGGTGAGTATCTATAACAATAATAATATAAGGTGTTGTTTTAAAGCCGCGTCATTTTCTGGGAGGTAATTCGGCTATCGATTCTGAGAAAAAAATTTTCAGTAAATATTTTTAATTTTTCTGTAAATACGGAAATCTGTAAGTGCGAACTACACGCCGCCGTCTTTCAACTAGCTTTATAACGCGGCTAAACACACAAAATCAAACACGTAATTGATATTATTCGTAATTCCATAAAACTCCAATAAGAAACATTGTTGTTGCTTATTCTGAAATGTTGTCGAACTTAAACGATTTATTATAGCCGTATTTTTAACTATTGGCCCGAAATTTTCTCTTACATTGAACCTTTATGACTTCTGTGGCATGCCCCCGAGAAATGTCACGGTTTCAAAACCATACCTGTATAATCTACATTCTTACATAAAATTTAAAAAAAATAGTAAGGCAAAACTCAGTATTCTGTCTTGACTATGTCTGTTCGCTGTGATATCAAAAACTGCTGAACAGATTCTTATGCAGTTTTTGATGCAGTAGATAGAGTTCTTTGAAGAAGGTTTAATTCGTCAAGGTTTGTATTACAGCAAGCTACTGGCAGAATAAATAATTAAGTATAAGTTTTTGCAAAGTGAAGTTGTGAAGGTCTATGTAACTTCGTTATTAATGCAAAAGTGAGCGTGTTTGTTTATACGCTTTATGCCGAAAGCGCTGAATCGTTTTTCATGAATTTCGGTTACTGGAGTCATAGTACCCACGCATTTTTGCGTTCAAGCGACAACACTTTATTTTAATTATGTACTACTAGCTTCTGCCCGCGACTTCGTACGCGTAATCCTATTTTTTCCCGTCCCCGTTCGTGCTTTTCGGTAAAAAGTAAAAAAAAATTTTGGTTAAAAAGTCGTATCCTATGTCGGTCTCCTGGCTCTAAGCTACCTTCCTACCAATTTTCAGCCAAATCTATTCTGCCGTTGTTGAGTTATAAGTGGTGTAACTTACTGATCTGAACGGCTAGACCGATTTGGCTGATTTTTTTTTTGTTGTGTTTATTATTGGCAGGAGTAGGTTCTTATGACAGAAAAAATTGCTTAAAATCCTACTGGAACGAGAGAAAACGGGATTGCTCGTACGAAGTCGCGGGCAGAAGCTAGTTTATGATAAAACCAATTTTATTTTTTATTAGACTTGTCATAGAGATTCATACTTATATATTTAGAGATTCATACTTATATATTTCTTGTTATTATTTCTCCTAGGACGGTACATACGTCAAGTCTCCTAGCTCCAAACTAACGTACGGTACAATGATGTTCGTCCGAGTGGTCATTGTGAAAGACATGTGCAACTACATCGCCAAGGCCGTTACCATAGCAACGCGGTACTCCGCCGTCAGGAGACAGTCGCAGCCAAAACCAGAGTAAGTACATTTTAAACCGACTTCAAAATATGATCGTTCTCAGTTTAACCTGTATGTACAGTATGTATGTGTGTAATTATGTGTATAAGTTATGTTTGTGAGCAATTATCGCGAATCTCTGAACCGATTTTGATGTGATTTCCAGAAAATTGATTGTTACATACATACGTTATGTATCACGCCTCTCTCCCATGGGGGTAGGCAGAGAATAGGGATCGCCAATTACTGCGATTCCTACATACCTCTTTCACTTCATCAACAGTCATCAATCTTTTCTTGAATGCTCGTCGGTTAAGGGTACTTTTAATTTGGCCCTTCTTTAATATATCGACAATCTGGTCACTATATGTCCGTCTAGGGCGCCCTCTACCGACGGCCCCATTCATATCCGCTCTGTATACTTCTTTCGTTACTCTACTTTCATCCATCCTTTCTACATGTCCAAACCAGCGTAACATTCCCTTTTCAATCCCAGGGGCGTGCAGTCCATATAGGCAAAAAGACTTTGCCTACCTTACAAATACCGTGAATAACACTACGTAATAAAAGATATAAACATTTTAATTTTACTACAGAATACTAAAATAATAATTATAATAAAATTAGTGAACGCCTAAAATAAATAGTATAGCAACAATGATGGCGCGCGATACGTGTTGCATTTCGCCAGGCATACCGTATATAGCTGTAAACATTAACGCGCGAGGCAGGCACGCGGTTCCGTCGCCTGCAAACCATTCATAAATTTAAGCGTGTAGTGGTGAACGTCATTGTGTGCGTAGTGCACAGACGCGTTTATTTCATCGTCGCGAAGCTTGCCTGCAGGCACGGCCTGACGACTCGTGACTGAAGTTCGCCGCGAGCCAACCAATCACGTTCCGTGTTTTGGTTTACTCATTGGTCGCCTCGCAGCGAACTTCACGCCGCTCGCGCGTGACAATTTTTTTGTTTTTGTTTACGTGCGATGCGTGGATTTTCGGATAATTTTGTTATTTGATTTAGAATACGATTAGTAATTCTACGCAAATAATTTGTAGTAAACGGTATAAAATTGTCTATTTATATAAGTACATTTTATTACTGTGTTTGTTTATTTGTTAATTGATTTTGCAAAGTTATACGAAGAACTGTGAAGTTTGTATTGACAAAAGTTGGTAAAGAATTATAAACTATCGCAGACCATCGCTTAGTGATTAGATTGTGTGTGAGTTTTTCTTCTGATAGTCTTGTCTTGGTAAGTTCTATGAAAGTTACTTTATTTTAATGTGATTAGGTTATGTAACATAAGTAGGTACCTACGCGGAGCTTCCCGTCGCGGCAACTCAGTCAGTAAAAATAACGAAGCTTTAAGTAATATGTTATGTACTAATTATAAAATGAAATGAAGAAGAATAAGCTAGGTAAATGAATGTTTAATAATACTAAAAAATGTACTACCGCTTACTCGGCTCGGCCGCAGCCGGCCGCGCTCGGTTCGATTTTTCTATTAGTCATACCCAAGTTCTTAAAATCATAATATCTCTTGAATAGATGAACCAAACTTATTAATTCGAAGAATTAAACTAAAAGAGTAAAGAATTCGTAATATTCTTGTATTAAACGTGAGAAGGCTGGACAGGCCGCCAGTTCAGTACAATTTTTAGAATGAACAATTCGTTACTGCTACTGAATTGATAACATAAATTAGATTAATCGTTATACAGTACCTCGAGTAGGTAATTATGCAGATTAGTTTTACAAATCTAAAGAGAAAAATAGAATATTAATGTTTTTAAGTTGTTAGAGTAATCAATAAGTTGATGTAATACTTCACGAAAACAACGAGAGATGGCACTGTTACAAAGAATTGACGAAAGATTAAAAACCTCATAAGTTGAATTATGTTATGTATTTACGATGAGTTTAATCATAATACAATATTATGTTGCCTACCCTGTTCTAAAACCCTGTGCACGCCACTGTTCAATCCTTGTCACTACATCATCTTTCAATCCACACCTTTCTCTAATAACACTATTTTTCACTCGATCACTCAATTTTAGTACTCACATCCTTATCAGGGCTCTCATGTTTTTGTGTTTGTTACACTTACCTACTAATTATATTCTTTTTATTAAGACTTTGACTGCCAATTAAAAAACTGTTGAAGGTAAATCCTCCGCTAACGCTGGTCACCGGTGGTTGGTTTTTCTCGCAAGCACGAATGCTGGACAATGAGTTTTGGTTTCTCGAGCTAGGAGAAATATAATAAGGATTTACATTTTTGAAAATGATTAGTACGTAGTAGCGGAATTACAATACCGCCTGGATGTCCTATGTTGTTGCCAGGCTCGGCCCAATTACATGAAATGATGGTATTAATATTTACAGAATGTGTGTGTTACATTTCATAACACCTTATCCTCAGCCTACTCCTTATGGGACCCAAAGGCGTAAACATATTGCGTTGTATTGTCTTTGAATTGCATTTAACATACTAGTTAAACTGTCAAACACCGGTGACCGCAACCTATTGTTCTATAATTGTGTCTATAATGACGGTACTCAACGAGTTAAGCTTAGTACCTACAATTAATATATTTTCATGGTCTTGAATAATACTTATTTCGCTATTATATAACATGACGCAGTTAACAACTGCAAATACATTAAAATTATTCATTAATTAAATAATAAATATTTATAAATGTAGTTTAGCATTTAGTATGCGTTTACAACAATTCGTGGCATAAACATATTACATAATTATTTAACTTCACCTGCATGGGTACATTAAATTAAAGAAAAACATTTTATTATCTAGTAAATTCTAGTGAGACATGTAGGCTAAGTACTATTTTACTTTAACCATGCGAGCAGCCGCGGAGAACTTAACGGGTTACCGGGGCTCCGGCTTGAAGTGCAGGAGTAGAAACGAGGTGGTTTTTAGTCAATAAAAATCTGACACTCCCTCCCGTTTCACCTAGGTGGGAGAAGAAATTCGATGATTTTGCCCCCTTAAAAAAGAAATCCACGCGAGCAGAGCCGAACAGCTGGGCTGGTTACATATTTTATTTCTGTCTATCCTCAGTGAGCCTGAACCTCAGATCCTGGACTACTTAACGCAGCAACACAAGCTGATGGTGGGCATCGCCACCGCGCACGCCTTCCAACTCAGCGCTGACTGGATCTGGAACATGTACAACAATGTCACCGCTGAACTTGACGCGGGAGACTTGGAGCGATTGCCTGAAGTAAGTTTTAGTAACTAACTTTTTTTTCACAGGCACTTTCCACACTCTTTTAAGGAATAAGGGCAAACAAGCAGACGGATCACCTGATGGTAAGCAATCAGCGCCGCCCATGGACACCTGTGACACCAGGAGACTTACTTACTCCGCTTTAGGAGAGGGGATTGGGCCTCCGGTAACCTCACTCACTCGATGAAACAACACAAGCGCTGTTACATGCCAATTTTCTGCGATGACACAAAGTATTCGTCTTTTAAACGAATGCCGTGCGAGCTCAGTGAGCAAACTTTTTCGTGACAATAATGTTTTAATAAAATGTTATCTTTTTTGGTGCAGCCGTTCGTTAATCTCACTAGTTATTGCGTACCGTTTCACTAACTGTCAAAATCGTATAAATATCTTAACGCCCATTTCTCAATCATCAGTTAATTCTTAACTGTAGAATAAAATTGTCATTTGACAGTTTTTAATATAGAGGAATTGTCAAATATTGAAAGTTATTCCTCAGTTAAAATTTATCTGAGCATCGAAAAATTGACCCTTAGTGTGATATATTTATTTATTTAATATGCGTCATGCACAAAGTATATGATTAGTTGGACTTAATGTTCTGACCTTTGGTGGATGCAGAGAAGAGTACATGGTATGTGCAACAGGCAAGCAATAGTTTTATATTTTTTTGCAGACATATACATACATAAATATAATTATATATAATACAAAATACAAAAAAAATACAAAAATTTTTATTTCTGAACCAAATATTTTTTAACAATAGATTGTGATTGGAGCCTCCTTTTAGGTAAATAATGCCTGTATTAGGAGACTCCGCTCTTCCATAACATAACAATATTTCAAAAGTTTTTGGTTTTTACAATTACCAGTTTATTGACTTATATAAATAGATTTATGTGTAAGGGGTGTATGTGAGTGTGGGGTGTATGTGTGTGTGAGGTGCGCGTATCTGTGTGTGTGGCGTGTGTGTCGTGGTGTATCTGCGAGGGTGTGTGAGGGATGGTTATTTTACGTGTTGCAGCAGGGCTTCCGTACTTTCGTATGTTAGATTTTTTATCCATTCGATTAGCAATTTCTTACATTCGTGTAGTTGTTTAGTGTATATGTATATTTCTTTGTTTACCTTATTATATATTTGTGCAGAGCGTTTATTGTATTGTATAGCAGCAAGTTTAGTTTAGTTTTAATATGTATCATATTTATACACATAAGTATATAAATATGATATAGGTAATTTTAAGTAAAACTCAATACCTACTTGAATCGCTCGTCAAACTTCCCCCCAGAATCGCACGTTACCACACTTTGCGCGGGAAACCTTTCTAATCTGTCACATTTGACAGATGACATCGTCAACATCACATACAGGCTGTCGATAATACAGATTAAATTAGTGACGTTCTTTTAGTTGATTTTCGTCGTCTAATAATAGTGATGGTATGCATTACTTCCAGTTGCACGCGCTGTCGTGTTGCCTGAAGGCGATGACGACGGCGGAGGCGGCGGAGTGCGTGGAGCGGTGCCGGCTGGCGTGCGGCGGGCACGGGTACATGCTGGCGTCCAACCTGCCGCACACGTACGGGCTCGTCACCGCCGCCTGCACCTACGAGGGGGAGAACACCGTGCTGCTGCTGCAGACGGCCAGGTCATTGTCGACTCTTTGTTTTGTTTAGCTTGCTATTGTACTGTATTTTGAGTTTTGACTGGCAATGAAATAGAATGAAAAATGGTTAAAAGGATTGAATGAAAGGTAATGTATTACCTACTTTTGAAAATTAATGACATGTGTAAGCAATTTAGGGAAGCTCATTCCAAGAGTAGATCTCGAGAAAGGATTATTATGATTTCTTTGGCTCCGTATAATAGCGCTGATGATAGCTAGTCAAATTCTTTTTAGTCATATTTTAATGTTTTTTCTTTAATCACTCTAGTTAAAACCGTAAGCCCAATCTTACCGCAAATATTGACTGCACGGTTGGCGCGGTGGCTGGGCAACTGGCTGCCACGCAACGTGTCTTGGGTTCGATTCCCGCACGGAACAACTCTTTGTGTGATCCACAGATTGTTGTTCCGGGTCTGGGTGTCATGTGTATGTGATATCGTATGTTTGTAAACGCACCCACGGCACAGGAGAGAATGCTAGTGCGGGGGTAACGTTTTTTAAAAATATAAAATAAATAAATATTCTTAAACAATTCACCAGATCGTAAACTCACACACATGTCTATATTTGCAGATACCTAGTAAAGACGTGGCAACAAGCCCAGGGCGGTAACTCCCTGCCCCCGACGGTGGCGTACCTGTCCCGCGTCGGCGCCGGGCGACGCGTGCCGCCGTGGGACAACTCCATCGAAGGCATCATACATGGGTTCCAACTCGTTGCTGCCGGGTAACTAAAAACTAAACTAAAAAGGACTATCTCATTCATAAATTACTAGGACTTTTTTCTGCTAAAAAAACCGCGTAAAGTAGAGAAAGAATTAAAAAATAAGGGTCTTAAACGGGAATAGTAAAGTCTTGAAACTATGTATGTTAAATGAAATTTGAAACAGAAGGGGTAGATTAGTCAGGAATTACACATAGGCTACTTTTTATTCCACAAGAACGCCGGCGAAGCCGCTAGCGAAAGTTAGTATGTTATAATGTAAATACATTCAAATATGGTATTTATTATGATTGCAGTAAGATCGCATTGTGCGTGGCGAACATCGAGAAACGCCAGAAGAGTGGCATGTCGTATGAAGATGCGTGGAACATGACTTCTGTGCAACTAACACAGGCTTCCGAGGTAAAATAATTATACATTTTCCAAGTCTACATACCTAAATAAAAATTAATCACTGAAATGTATATTTGTAGTAGCACTATAGGACTGGTAAAAAAACAATATGCTTCCTACAGACGGGGAATTACGATATCTTGTCTTCGTTTGTTAGGACATAATATTCACAGGGAATCAAGTATTAAATACTGCCAAATAAATTACTAGGTAATGAAGAATTTTTGACTAATCGTGTTTTGATTTTGGATTAGGTCGATATTTTCCACTTTTTTGATACAGCTACTGAAAACTGCCTGCCTCGTGTTGGCCGAGTGGTCGCATGTGCGACTGCCGGGCAAGGGGTCTCGGGTTCGATTCCCGAGTCGGGCAAGGTATTACTGGATTTAAAAAAAATCTCAGTAGTAGCACGAAGTCTGGAGTCATGCCCGGTATATGTCAATAGGCATTACATGGGACTCATAACATAAATAGTGAAAAGTGGGTGTTACATTTTACAGTGGCATTAAGTGCCTAATTTAATGTGCACCTTTGTCCACCCCATCGGGGATAAAAAATGGCGTGATGTTATGTTATGTATGGATACAGCAAATGAAACTTAATATATTTATTTTCCTGTATTTTTCACTATCTGTTATCTGTATACTTTATCGTACGCAGGCGCACTGCCGCGCGTTCATCCTGTCCTCGTACTTCGAGGAGACGGAGCGACAGGTGAAGGGAGTCTCACCACAACTACGTGAAGTGTTACTGCAACTAGTAGACCTCTACGTCGTCTACTGGGCGCTGCAGAGGATCGGGGATCTGCTCAGGGTGAGATATAAGCAAAATAATGTTTAAAAAGGCTGAAAAGGAGACCAAAATGTGTATTTGATGTATGTTTTGAACTCTTTGCGAGTTTAGAGTATGTTTTTGTAATAACTATCGTGAGACATACTAAATTAACTAAAAACTGCGGGTTACCCATGTGAATATACTGAGAAAAGCTCTACTAGAGTACTTATAATTGTTTTTTACTTTAAATGGTTTTTTTTTTTGGAATTATGTCAATATAAAATTCCACTTCCAAAACCGAAGGCTGTTATCATAAAATATGATTTGAGCTAACATTCGATATACACAGTAAATGATCAACTTGTTCAGTGCCAAACAAATATGTATTCAACCTACATGATTGCAAGACAAACATTTATCATTAATGTTTTGAAATTAATTTTCCTGATTATTTGCAGTTCACATCAATTTCTGAGCGTGATATTGAGAAGCTGCAACATTGGTACGAGGAGCTACTTACGAAACTGCGACCTAACGCAGTCGGGCTCGTCGATGCCTTCGACCTTCGGGATGAGGTACGTACCTATTTGAAGAGCATTATACTCTTGAGTAGTGACAAAAAAATCACGTCCTGTTCCTGTTATGCATGCATAGAATTGGGTTGTTATTAGAGTACGAAAGAGCTTAAGTGTGGGAAAGCGATGCTTCGGCACGAATGGGCTGACTCGACCAGAGTGATACCACGGCCTCACAGAAAACCGACGTGAAGCAATGCTTGCGTTATGTTTCGTCGTTTGTGTGAGGTTACCGGAGGTCCAATTACCCCTCCCCTTCTCAAATCTCCCTGAATCCCCAACAATCCTCAAACTCCTATTCCCCAAAATCCGTGATCCGTCGTCTCGTTTACATAAAAAACGAATGTTTTTTGTAGGAGTGTCATATCACATAGTCACTCTCTTTCTCAGTAATGTGGTTATTGACCAACCATAAACTGAGTTTCGTAATGAGGGACTAGTGCGAGTTTTTTTTAAATGAACGCGGTCAATAACCGCTCAATTAACCCTCGATTAACTGTTTGATCGGTTAGATAACTCTGTGCAGGCCAAACTGAGAGCCGGACGTCATAAACGTGTCGATGCGTTAAACAATATTTCACTACTTCCAGCCCAAAAGATATCTTTGAAACTATGGTAGCCTTACGTTTATATTGTGGACTGCCTTCTACTGTAACAATCAAATAAATGCTTGATGATGGAAAGGGACGATACTTTAAAATGATTTTATATTGTCATGGTAAGATCAAATACCTTTTGATCTTCTTCAGTAGACCTATAGGTCTACTGAAGATACATCATGACTGTAAATATTTTAATGAACCAAATTGTTTATTTTCAGATTCTGCACTCTGCCCTGGGTGCGTACGACGGTCGCGTGTACGAGCGTCTGATGGAGGAGGCGCTGAAGAGTCCTCTGAACGCGGAGCCAGTCAACCAGAGCTTCCACAAGTACCTCAAGCCGTTCATGCAGGGGAAACTGTGATAGAACTACTTAAATATATGGAAACTAGATATAAGATATAGCATGTGATTTATTTTTAATTGCGGTTTTATATAGGGTCGTTCTATTTTCAACAGACTTTAAAAAAAAAGGAGGAGGTTCTGAATTCAATTGTATTTTTTTATATTTTTTTTATTTTGTCTATTATTGGTTGTGAAATGAGAATCAGGTACTAAAATTTTTAAGACATTGTTATCAAGAGTTAGGCATATTGTGTTTTAGCACTACAACACCGCGCCAGGTGACGGTGATAATGTTGTTAATTATGTATTTAAATTATTTGTGACATGAACTGTAAAACACTGAATTTTGTAATAAAAAATAAAATGTTGTAATAAAACGTAAATCTTTTTAAACTATCAAGTTTAAAAAGATCGTAACCTATGTTAGAATGACCTTATTTAATTCCGTTTTTACGTGAGACTTAAAAAGGTGTAGATTTTATAATGTAAATCATTTTAAATGGTTAAGGTGTCTTATCATATAAGAATAAAATGTCAAATCAAATAAAATATATTTTTTTATATTTATTTCATAGCTAGGTGGTGGACGAAAATCATTCCTTATGCATGTAGGTGCTACAGTATTACCCAACTGGAGATTTTAAGAGATTTAAATTACAAATCATTTATAATAAAGTTTTATATTTTGTTTACCTTTTTTGTTTTTATTTTACGAGTTTTCAAGTTTTATTAGGAACGTTCATTGCCTCAGATATCCAAAGGAGAATATCCGCAGAATTAGACTTTTCATAACGATTTTGCAAATCACTAATGAACAAAACTATATACTTCATTATATTTTGCTTATAAGTTATAATGATAACTGGCCACATGACTAACTCATTCGTTGGTCGAGTGGGTTGAGTCATGAGGCAGTTGGTGAAAATTAGGAGCGTTAGATGCGCTATCCACTCGTTCAGAAAATTAAAATAAATAAATGTTCTCTTAGGTGCTCTTAGATTTATTTTAAACTAGATTCTGCGACTTCGTGTGCGCTATCCCGTTTTCTCCCGTTCCCGTAGAATTTTCAGGATTTTAGGTGTTAAGTTAGTAAGAGAAGGCTCTTACTAATAAGAAATACAACAAAAAAAGAATATGTGAAATCGGTCCAGCCATTCACGCGTGATTCCGTGACCAAGGTAAAAAATACATTAACTATCTGTAAAAACAAGGTCTAAAAATTAATTAATCATTTTGAAAAAAGTATTAAAAATAACAGCTTTTCGAAACCATGAAACTAAACGTTTGGGTACCTACTTGTCAACTTTCAAGTCAAGTTGACATTGTTGACAGTGGTCAGTGTCATTTCATTATAGTTTGGTCGTTTGTTGTTGTTGTTATTGGTGTTTTTAAAAGACATTGTTAAGAGAAAACACATGATATAAAGCAGCATACTTAAAAATTATAATTATCTGTTTAACCAACTTTTAATTATGGCCGGTAACACTTACATGAATAATTGCCGAGCATGCCTAACTCCGAAATCATCTTTTACGTATTTCTTATTTGAGAACGTATGTCCAGAGTCTTATTACTTTTGTACCTCTGTTCAGGTAAGAAACATAACTTGCTTACTATAATTGACTAAGAATCGTAAGACAATAATTATGATACTATACTATGATAATAATTTTACTGTATCAAGTTTGTATTGGATCTAAATAATAGTGTAAAGGTGAACTTTCTAATGTATTTTCTCTTAATAAGCAGATCAGAATTACGGCAGTGAACTGAATTGCTAAATCGCTAGCAGGTGTATAAATGAGACAGAAAATTATAATACCAACACAACATATTACAGGTATCCAAAAATGAAGAATTACCAAGAGGTGTATGCAATTCTTGTTATGAGCTTCTGAAGAATTACTCCGACTTTAAACGCACCTGCCTACAGTCGCAGGCTATGTTACTAGACATTCTAACTAATACATCATTGAAATATGAAGTAGATATTCCAGTACCACACAGAACAGAAAACTATAAATTAAATGAGACACTGGGAGATAAAATCAAGGTTGAAGTAATTGATGGTGCAATTAAAAGTGAAAATGGTGATGATCATGGTATAGTACTACTCATACTATTCATTAAAATATTATAATCTCCAAGTTTTGCAGCTTCTGTAATTGTTGCGCACATACAAGTAAGATTATGTTGTAATTACTCTGGTATCATGTATGTCTAGCATCCACACCCCACCAACCTATTTTTATCATCAGGCGATTTGCTTTGTTTTTTTGCCGCTATGCCATAAAACATTAGAATTTATATTGAAACAAGCAAATAACTTTACATAACATAACATCAGGCCTTTTATCCCCGTATCACGGGTAGGCAGAGGTGCACATTACGGCACTTAATGCTACTGTACAAAGTAACCCACTTTTCACTATTTTATGTTCTGAGGTCCCATGTTATAGAGGGTGAGCCTATTGATGGCAATAGTGCCCGGTATATGGGTACCGGGCACAATTCCAGTCTTCGTGCTTCGTGCACTTGCAACCACTGGGCCAACGAGGCAGTCTTCATTTATACATAACTAGCGACCCGCCCCAGTTTGGCACGGGTGCAATATGTATATGTATTATAAATATAAACCATCCTATTCCAGAGTATTCCATCTATTAAAAAAAACTGCATCAAAATCTGTTGCATAGTTTTAAAGATCTAAGCATATATAGGGACAGACAGACGGCGCATAGCGACTTTGTTTTATACTATGTAATTTATAAATTTATAAATAAATATTACTAATTTAGTTCTTATTTCCATGTTTTCTTCGTGTGCGTTACCCAAGCCAGATGTTGTCGAAAATGGTCATTTGAATCTGATAGATAATTAGTTTTGCAGCTTCTGTAATTGTTGCGCACATTTTTTAATTTGTTGCGCTTATAGTTTTTTAATTATTTCACAAAACCATTTCCTACTGGGGCAATGTTACCCCAGAACTTTTTCTTTCTAATGGGAATATTTAAATAATAACTAGCTATAAAATTAGTTGTCTAGATGAAGTAAATGTTGTGCCATATTTTGTATTTGTTCTTTCATCGGATGCGAAGTTATTCGAGATTTTGCTGGGGTAACGTTTTTGGTTTTCTAGATCTTTGAAATGGTTAAGCGGATTCTTATCATATTTTGTACATGGCTTCTTAGGAATTAGTATAAATTTGTTCTGCAATAATTAAACCAAATGTGTACTATACATAGCTTAAAGGTTATTTCATTATTATATTATTGGATAATCGTTTTGACGTTCGATGTGAACAGACGTGTGCATTATACATACTGTTGAATTAACGCAAGAGTGACCTACTAAATTATTTTTGCTTAGTTTGAAATTTAGTATTTTATAATGGAAACATAATCATATTTAATAAAAATGGATAAAATCCCGAGCAACCTGGCTTCCTGTGCCTCACCAATAGAAAGCAGCCGTAAATCTGACTTCTCAATAGAAGCTGTGTCCACGCCCGACATTCAGAACTGGATGGCAAGCATTGAACAGCAGTTAAATGAAGTATGTGTCATTGCAACGGAAGGCAAACTCAATTCGGAGCAAAAGCTTAGAATATCAAACCTGAGCCGTAAAATTGGAGCTGATGTCTCACAAATGGCTGTCCTTTATCAAGCACTGAAGCAGCAAGCTCGCCTAGCCGTCAACATAATGGATGAATTGAGAGAAAACTGTGACCTATCGGAACAAATTGACGAGATTAAAAAATCTCTCAAGGACTCAACTACAGCCAAGACTGTGTCTTTTGCGGACATGGTGAGAAAAGGATCCGATTTCGTTCGACCAAACAATCTGGCCTCTGTCGCTGTGTATCCAGCCAATAAATTGAAAACTAGCGAGGAAACTAAAACTATGGTGCAAACAATTATAAGTCCTAGTGAGATGAAGCTGCGCGTGCGTGGAGTCCGCAAGACACAAAACGGAGGTGTAATAATCAGCACTGAGTCGAAACAGGATGCTGAAAAAGTGAAGCAAGCAGTTGGCCTGTCGTTATCCGGTCTTCTCGCAGACGAACCAAAGAAGCGCAAACCACGAATCGCAGTAATAGGAGTGCCGTCGACAATGACAGATGCTGACGTCTTCAGGTATATTTATGACCAGAACGTATCTGACAAGCTCCCGGAGATGACAATGGAGTGTTTTTTAACATCAGTCAAGCTAAGTCACAAATCGGGAAGAAAGGATGCGCCGACCTGCAATTTCATCATCGAAGTTCCAGGCAAGATACGTAAAGCCCTTATATCTCAAGAGAGAATTTATATCAATTGGACTTCCTGCCCCGTTAGAGACTTTACGCTTGTAACGCGATGCTACAATTGCCAACTATATGGACACGCAGCAAAATCATGCAGAGAGATCAACTCATCGTGTGGCCACTGCGGAGAAGCAGGACATGTACAATCCTCGTGCACTAAAAAGTTGGAATCCCCTAAATGTGCTACATGCTCTCGTTACAATAAGCCCAATAAACATAAAACCGGAGACACTGACTGTCCGGCTAGGAAAATAGCTGAATATAGGTATATCAACTCTATCGATTATGAGGACGCGTAAAGTGTCATATTCTCAGATTATAGAGTTGATTAGCCTTTCCTTGCACATTAATTAACAATTTGTTGCTGTTCAAGCATATTTTATTGTGACATCGAGTGAATGACCGTTTGGACTGTAAACTAGATTATGTTTCTGTTGATGTATCAAATTCTTCAGTACTATAGTTCCTACAATGTTTTATATAAATATATATGTATCTCTATCTATGTTTTGCAATTAAGCTAATATAATTACTTGTTTAATAAATGTACTTTTACGATAATATTAATATTTAGTTACCTATCATGATATGTAGTTATGTACGTGTGTATGTATGTATGTATATTAAATAATCAACTTTACTTTAATTTTGATCGATTACTTATGTTAAGGAATTTGTTTATATAAATAACTTGTCCTAGAATTAGTAATATTGTGAGTGCTCCTTTCGCCTGTGATACAGGATATTCTTCCTAGTACAGGCATTCAAACCTAGTGAGATCTCTGATTTTAAATGAAGATGTTTATCTGTACCACGACCAATTTCTTATAATGAATAAAGATTTATTATTATTATTATATTATTAAATAGAAAAACACTTCAATTGGTCCCAGCACTCTCAATAAGAGCTCTAAAGACTTACTTTAAACCTTATTTTAAAGAAACAACATTAGCGCAAACGCAGCAAGCGCAACTAATTTAAAAATGTGCGCAACAATTACTGAAGCTACAAAACTAATTATCTATAAGATTCAAATGACCATTTTCAACATCTAGCCTGCGTAACGCACACGTTTGATTCACAACAACTTTATTTATTTTTAGAATACATGACTCAAAATGATGATGAAGTTTGTAATGATGACCCAGTAATTAACGAAGTCAAAACTCGTAAAAGGTTAGTTATAAATTTTCATCTATCATCGTCATCATAACAACACGCCTTTTTATCCCCGAAAGGGTAGGCAGAGGTGCACGTTACGGCACTTAATGCCACCGTACAATGTAACACCCACTTTTCACTATTTATGTTATGAGTCCCATGTAACAGGGGGTGAGCCTATTGCCATATACCGGGCATAATTCCAGACTCCGTGCTACCTACCTACTCAAAGTGAGATTTTTGAAAAATCCCAGTAATACTTTGCCCGACCCGGGAATCGAACCCGAGACCCCTTGCCCGGCAGTCGCACTTGCGACCACTCGGCCAACGAGGCAGTCAATTTTTTTCTACATATTATGTAAACCCAGTACAATTCAAAATATGGTTGTACTCATGAACTAATAAATGATTAATTCCAGAAATAAAGTAAAGAAAGCTGTGAAATTAAATACACAGAGAAATATAAAGAAACAGAGGAAGAAATTAATTTACACATGTGATATTTGCCAAAAGAAATTTAATTATAAGCAGAGGTTTGATGCACATAAACTTGAACATGAAGGGAAAATTGTAAGTATATGGTATTGCTAATGAAATGGAGCTTCTTGTTCGTTCTTCTCCATAGGAATCTAAGCCTTGCAATGACAAAAAAATAAAAGTGATGCTATCACATTTATTTTTTTGTTGACATTCAAAAGTGCCATTCTGGTATAATTGAAATTAATGATTTGACTTTGAAAATTAAATTATTAAGATGTAGTTCTACTGAATCAAATAATCAATCTTCTTGGAATTGGCTACTTTTCTCATGGCTAAAAATTAGATGAATAGATAGTTGCCAAATCTAGCCATATAAATTTAAAAAAATTTTGAAAATCATAACATCTCATTATCTAATGAATAATCAACCACAACTATTGTCATATTATAAGTCTCAAATCTTAATAACTAACTTTTAAGTGAAGGCATCCACAAATAATTTAATGATTATTATCTTCCAATTCATTATTGTAACGTTTCATGGTTCCGAAACCTCGTCATTAACATACATACAGGTAACCATCTACTGTGCACCGTGCCAGAAATCATTTATCACATGGAGTGGGCTAAAACGTCACCAAATCAGTACACACACGCAAGTAAATCTGGAAAGTCTGCGGTGTAAGACTTGTGGCAAAATTTTCAAGAGTCAGGACACATTACGGTCACATAAAAAGTTACATGGTGATAGAAACTTGATCATGTGTGATGTTTGCGGAAAAGGATTCACTACTACTACTGTGTTAAAGGTAATTTAAGCTTGTCATTAAGTACTTCGTTAGGAAAGTGGGCCATCCATGGGTTCGCAATCCCAATCTATACCCTCCCCTGGTGTAGTAGGTGTCCATAAGCGACATCAGTTTACCTGTCTGCTCGTTTGTCGATCCCATAAAAAATCTAATGCCGAAAGTGCACTATCAGTTTTCAAACTTCTTGCTACCCACTCTGTCATCATTACAAATGTCAAAGTAACCAATCATCTAAGACTTTGTTTTATGGACTTAAAAAATCCTAATAATCACTAACATAGTTAACTTTGTTTACAGATCCATAAAGAATCACACACAGAGAACAGGGAACGTCGTTTCACGTGTGAACATTGTGGCAAGAAGTTCTTCACAAAAACAGTATTATTGTCACACGTAGCAAGAAGACATTTGGGTCGCACTTTCATATGCCAAATATGTTCATACCCATTCAACGACAAGTACAATTTAACCAAACACTTACTAATACACGAAGGGAAGAAGCTGTTCAAATGTGACATCTGTATGAAGTCCTTTAGAGCACATTCGACCCTGGTAGAACATAAGCGGTTGCATACCGGAGAAAGACCGTATGTGTGTAGCCATTGTCACAAAACATTTGTTTCTAAGAAGAGATTGACTGATCATTTAAGAATTCATACTGGTGATAAACCGCACAAGTGTACGTTATGTGAACAGAGGTTTACGCAACGAGGAACCCTGAAGAGGCATATGAAAGTTCACGATAGGCCTGCACCTACAATAAGCTAGATATATATTATGGAACTAGTAGCCTTATGAAATTAACTATTAATAATTTTTTATCACTATAAAAGGCATAATTTTTTTTTTCATATAAATTACTACTAATGTGAGCATAGCAGGGGTCTGTTCAAGGATGTAGAAAAACGCGGACATCTGTTGTATCGCGTATCGTATCGTATCTTGAAACGACTGTGGCATCTGGCTACTATAGTCTTACACGCAGAATACACCCACATTGACACGAAGGACATCTGTCGCGTGACATGCCCCGTCATTACACTTTATACATTACGGCGTTGCACGCGCACACATAAATACACTCGGAACAATAACTAAAGCATGGAAGCCAGGCTAAAATAGCAATTTACAAACGTATATCTGATTATATCGCTCTTTACACGATTTTGCGTAGGCGAGAATGAGACCGCAAACTGAACATAGTTCTGATAATTTACAGGTTGTCACAACTTTCAGTGGACTCATTCCAATCTTATGTCATTGGACTCATTCAGCATACTACCAAATTCAAAATCACGTTTTGACGTTCTATGTTTCACTCAAGTTTGACACCTTCCTCACTTTGCCGGATTATAGTACTGAAGTGTCACCGTGGATGTATTTACGGCTCCTAATACTAAAAAAATATTTTCGAAGGAATTTGCGCAAAAGCAAGTAAGAAAGGAAGTATATGGTCATTCTTTATGATATGTTTTACATAATAAAACTATGTCTTGTGTAATTGACGGTTGCCATTCACATTCGGGAAGAAAAGTAAACAGTGGTGAAAAAATTCACTTTCATTCGTAAGTTTTTGATATGTTTTAAAATAAATTATACTGGAAATACCGGTAAACTATAAATAAATGTTATATATTTAATGTCGTGCTTTACAATTGGTAGGCTAAACAGTATTTGTCCATATTTTCCTAAAAATTCTAAATCAATTTTCTAAGTTCATTTTTCAGCTAGTGATGTGGTCATATTACATATCGATATTTTAGTTAAGTTTTGAATATTATTATAGTGTAGACTACTGTTACTTTTTAAGGTTTGACCCACGATCGCCGATAATACAGAAAATGTATTTTTTGTTGGTTTAAGATACATCTTTCAATATTTTGGTGTGGTACTAGTGTTAATTCTTATTCCATTGTATTTTTTTAAGTTTACATTATTACTATTTAATTTTGGATAAGTAAAAAATGAACTTATTTTTTTATATGTTGCGATTATTTACTTGCAATATGATAAATAAAAAAGGTAAATAAATAAAAGTTTATAATATAACAGATTCCCAAAGAATGAAAATATCAAAGAAGAGTGGATAAGACGAGTCGGGAGACCCGACTGGAAGTGGAAGACCCACAGCAGGATCTGTTCCAAGCACTTCTCCCCCGACAATTATTTGCACAATGAATATTCTACTAAAAGGCGGTTAAAATTTGATGCTGTGCCTTTAATTAATTTGTCCGAAGCTGATTCAATGGTTATTATCTCATTTTAATACACTAAAATAAACATAATATAATAATACAAAATAGAAACATTTCCAATGTTTACCTACATAATTTTCAGAGTTCAGAACGACGACATATTCACAGTATTCCACCTGCTGTACAAGGACAAGGAATTAGTACGGTATTATGTACAATTTTACAATTCTTTACTACTTACTATGAATTATTATGTTTATAAAAGTAATCGAATAAGGTTGCTTATTCAATTTTGTTAAAACAAATCACATTTTCAGACTTCTGAGCATGGACACGTTCAATGTATTTCATCTGCTGTAATCCCTTTGGATTACAGCAGAAGAAAGAGCTCTTTAGCTCTTCAAGAATTAGAAGGACAAGAAAATAGAGTACGTATCTATAATTTATTTTATTACTCGACGCGTTGACCGAGTTGTATCATTTATTAATTAGTTTACTGCGAGCCACACCCATGCTCATTTCTAAATACCTGCGTCTTAAAAGTGTTTAACTTAAACATTTTTTAAACGTTTATACATCTTTTCTTTATTTATCGTAGAACTTCTTTATTTGTCACCCTCCGCGGCAACTTGTATTTAGATTCTAATTACTTTTGTAACTTGTTTAAGAAACCACAAATGGAAATTAACACTGCGATAGTGTCAACAATAAAACGAAAATGTTCGTATTCAGAATGTGGCACATCTTTTGGTAGAGATGAAGCATCCGCTGAAAAAAAGATTAAATTATTAGAGAAACAAGTACAAGTTTTAAAAAATGTTTCGAATCGCCGTTTGCGTAAAATAAACACATTAACAAAACGACTTAGTCGACTTTCAAAAAAAAATGAAGACCTTTACACAATCGTGATAGAAAAATTGAGACAAGAAAATATCGAAACCGAGAATATAAATATGTTAGATAGCTTAAATAAGAATGATATAATCAAAAGATTTCTTCAGAAACAATGCGACGAAGTTCTTACCAGACAGTATAGTCATGAAATTAAAAAATTCGCAGTCACATTACATTATTTATCCCCAAAGGCATATTCGTTTGTCCGAGAACACTTTGAAAATGTATTGCCACACCCGAAAACCATTTCAGCATGGTATAAATCTTTAGATTGTAGACCTGGATTCACAACAGAAGCTTTAGATTCATTACAATTGAGAGCACAAGAAAACCCAAATAAAACTATATTTTGTGCCCTAGCTATGGATGAAATGGCTATAAGAAAGCAGGTAGAGTGGGATGGTAAAGAGTATTTTGGCTATAGTAACATTGGTTGTTCCCTCGATTCCGATGATGTGACACTAGCAAAGGAAGCCCTGACATTTATGGTAACATCATTAAACGACACATTTAAGGTTCCTGTTGGATATTTTTTAATTCACTCTATCACCGCTTTGCAAAAAGCTGCATTAGTTCAACAATGCCTTACACTTATAAAAAATTGTGGCGTTAAAGTTGTAAGTCTCACATATGACGGTGTTGCCACGAATAGAGCGATGAGCAATCATTTAGCTGGAGAATCGGAAACGTCTTTTCTGCACGATGGACAGGAAATATGCCTGTGGCCAGACCCGTGTCACAATATCAAATTAGTGCGGAACACTTTCGGCGATAAAAAGAATCTTATAGATTGCCAGGGACACACAATTTCATGGCTCTACGTAGAACTACTCGACAAAATACAAAATGATGAAGGTCTTCATTTAGGTACAAAGCTGAAAAATGATCATGTAAATTATGTGAAACAAAAGATGAAAGTGCGTCTAGCCACTCAGTTGCTAAGCGAGTCTGTTGCTGATGCAATGGAATTTTGCAAGCAATTAGGCATTCCAGAATTTGCAAACTGCGGTCCCACTATTACGTTCATTAGGTTATTTAATAACCTGTTCGATATCATGAACAGTCACAACATGAGAGCCAAAGGCTGGAAAAGAGCATTAACATCTTTTAATGTAGAAGAAACCATCGAATGTTTTGCAGTAGCAGAAATTTATATAAAAGGCTTAAAGCTTGTAAATGGTGAAGCTTTAATACACTCGAACAGGTCCACCGGATTCTGCGGCTTTCTGACATGTATGTCATCTCTCATCAAATTATACAACACCGTCGTTGTACCACATAATAATACAATGAAGTACATATGTACCTATAAAATGAGCCAAGACCACCTCGAGCTTTTCTTTGGTGCCATTAGATCCAAATGTGGATTTAACAATAATCCCTCTGCACGTATGTTCTGCGCTGCGTACAAGAAACTCCTTGTCCACGCTCAGTTTAAAGACAGTACTTCCGGAAATTGCATCCCTCTGGATAAAATTACAGTTTTAAACTGTAGTTCGGACTACAAAAAAGCTATTAATGACAGCACCAATTGTCGACGTCGTTTAGAACCCGAATCACATAATACTTTTGATGATTTGACAGAACACGACTACATTTTGTACCCATCATCTCTTACCGAATATACTAAAAATGTCGTAGAATACATCGCCGGTTTTATCGGAAGGAAATTAAAAAAATCTTTACAATGCGAAAAATGCATTGAAAGTCTTGAGAACACGGAGAGTATTCCTGAAAGATCTTTGATATCTATAAAAAATAGAGGAGGCCTATTTAAACCAACATTGGGCTTAATTAAGATCTGTCAACTTTCCGAAAAAATTATAAGAGAATATCAAGTGCATATTGGTTCGAAATATCTCGGTCAACCAAAAAAATTATTAGAGATGATTAATAAAGTTTCTGCAAATGTATTGCCGTCAGAAATTTTTTGTGAATTAAAAGATCATTCATTAGAACAATCTTTTTATGATGATCACAGAAATTTTCTAATAAAGTCCATATCACAAAAATATTTTAAACTTAGGATACATTATATAACTAAAAATTTGACTGTACCTACCGAAAAAATTCGCTCACATTTAACAAAAACAATTATATTTAATGGTCAATGATAAACACACAATAGTGTATCGCACATCATACCACAATACCGCAATTCACTATCCAAGACTCAGAAATCCTTTATGGGGTTATGTATTAAATGCTATAATAAAATACCAAATAGCATACTAGATTTTAATGAAAGTCAATTTAAAACATATATTAGCACGAATTATATAATCAAGCTTACTACAAACTGACAGATTATCTTGAAGATAAGAATGCTTGGCAGCATTTTGGTTCGGCTCCACTGGACAATACTGAAATGTACTCAGTAGTCAGATTCCAATAGTAGGTAATTTAATACTTTCATTCTAATGTAGACAATCTAGTTTCCTTATGGAATCGAGCATTTCTTTCTTTATTGAAACAAAGAGTTTCCTTTTTCTTGTATAAAAGCACTATTTTTATGGATTGTCAGTATGCATATGTCATATGTGAGCACTATGTTAGACTATAAGATTACATTTTGGAATGAGCACCTAGCTTCATCTAACTTCACTGACGGACTGACTGACAGACTGTTATTTGTTTTGTATTTGTTGACGTTACAAAAGTACCAAATTATTTTTTAATTGAAATAAATGCTTTGACTTTGACATCACTGTCACGGTTTGTAATATATGCTTTGTTTGTTTTATTTCTGAATCTACGACCTTCAGATTGAGAACCTAATGTACGCCAGACCACAGCAGCAGTACTTTCAGGTACTATAATTTATCGATAAAATATATTAATTTATTCCCATCACTAACATATTCACAAGTAGTGACAACCTGCATGATAACGAAATTAAACAATATATATGTCTCTTTCTTATGCACTATCAATACCATAAGTAAAAAAAAGATGAAGATATGGAGTCTAGTTGTTATTTTAGCCTGGCTTCCATGCTTTAGTTATTGTTCCGAGTAAATACACCACTGACATTTTGGTGCTTCAGTCATTTCTAAGTGACATTAAGTCCGCTTTTTTTCAACGTCCTTGGGTCTGTATTAAAACGTATTTATAATTAACTCCTTTCTTTCATTTGACAAGAAAAATAAATATAAACCAAAATAGATTTGATATACTTACGTTTATTTGAATCTCGAATTAACCGCTTGAATGCGCGTATGAGACACAATAGAAAATACATTGTGTCTCGCGTGAATCCACGTTTGGACACACGACGGGTTAAATCCAAATGAACATACATTCAATGATATGGCTTGGTATTATTTATTTACTTATTCGAAATAATAACAATATTATAATGGGATGTTTTGCTGTGTGCGTTACCCAGGCCATTTTTAAATTTGTTGCGCTTGCTTTTTAATTATTTCACAAAAACATATTCTGCTGGGGTAACGTTACCCTAGCCAGACCTTTTTCCATAAAATTAGTCCTTTTTTTATAAAATTAGTTGTCTTGATAAGGTAAATGTTGTGCCTTATTTTGTATTTGTTCTTTCATCGGTTGCGAAGTCATTCGAGATTTTGCTGGGGTATCGTTGTTGGTTTTGCTAGATCTTTGAAATGGTTAAGCGGATTGTTATCGTATGTTTACCCCAGCAGGAAATGTTTTTGTGAAATAAATAATTAAAAAACTATTAGCGCAACAAATTTAAAAATGTGCGCAATTATTACATAAGCCTCACAACTAATTTTCTATAAGATTGATTTCAATCTTATATTTTATATGCCAGATGTCGAAAATGGTTATATAAGAAATTATAACCATTTTCGACAGATGTCGACAGATGTCGAAAATGGTTATATAAGAAATTATAACCATTTTCGACATCTGGCCTGGCCTGGGCTAACGCACACTGTTTTGCTCACTAGATAGCGCTAATCTATCAACAAGTATTTTTGTCCAATCGCTGTGGCTGTAAAATAATCAACACTAGCTAATTCCCTGTTGGACGAAGAATGGGGTGCACACTAGCACCATCTAGTGAGCAAAAAAATACAGAATTCCTTGTATTTTATGATCTCAAGCATTTCTATATCTGTTCTGCTCATGTAAAGATCCTAAATGTCTTGGACATTAATATTCTAAACAAAGTAATAAAATAAACTAATTCTTACAGGTTCAAACCATGGAATTGACTAAACACCATTAGTTTTAATTTTTTCAGAAATTCTAACAAGAAAATAGAACCAGTAAAAATCTTTCCTGTTTTTAATTTTCATAAGTGCACAAATTGCTCACACCTTTGAATTATTTTTTTATTTTTATTATTAATAAAATTATTCAGGTACTTCCGTTTCATCTATACACTTTAAGCCTTTAGGTCAAACATCAGTATTCCACTGTGAATATTCGGCCACAGATCCTTGCAGCCTTGTCCTAAGTAATATATTCTGTGGTTTTTCCGCTTCCTTCTGCATATGTCCTTTCATATGTCGATTTAAAGCACCTTTTTGTATGAACGCTTGGTCACAAAGTTGACATTTGTGGGGTTTCTCACCCGTGTGAGTCATTCTATGTGTCCTTAACTCTTTTCGCGCCATAAACCGTTTCGGACATAAGTCGCAAGCAAATGGACGCTCACCTAAAAATAGTTTTCAAATATTTACACAAAAGACAGGGCGATATACGATTTATTTTCTAAAGGTTTAAGCAAAAAGTCATTAATTCATCTAAAAGTCCATGTAGTAAGAGGCTAACCATTAAGTATAATATGATGATGACAATATACAAATATTCATAAACCAACCTGTATGGGTCCTCATGTGGACTGTCTTAAAACTCTGAGTTTTAAAAGTTTTATCACAGTATTCACAAGCATATGGTTTTTCAGACGAATGCGACCGCATATGTTTGCGTAAATCTCCCTGAAAACACATATTGTTTAATTATATTTATTGTGACTGCCTCGTTGGTCGAGTGGTCGCAAGTGCGATTGCCGGGCAAGGGCTCTCGGGTTCGATTCCCGGATCGGGCAAAGTATTACTGAGATTTTTTTTAAAACTTTAAGTGCCGTAATGTGCACCTCTGCCTACACCTTCGGGGATAAAAAGGCGTGATGTGTATATTTATTATAATTGTAAAAAAGCATGATGTTTTTAGTTCTGGGGTTTGAAAAAATTCTACACAGATGGAGCCTATAAATTAATTAAATGGAAGATTGCTTTATACATACCTTAATATAAAATCTCATATCACAGATCTGGCAGGCAAAGTTCTTAATACCTGAATGCCTAATTAGATGCGATTTGAAATTGCCTTGATGTTTAAATTTCCTGCCACATTGCATACAACTAAAGTTCTTTTGATCACTATGAGATTCTATATGAGACTGGAAGAAAACATTAATTAGTTTGTAAAAAAAAAATATTTGAAACATCAATTTAAAGTATGTAAAACACTTCTTATGCTAAAAGATTAGATTTGCTTAGGCAACAGACACCTTATAGCTTATAAACTTAGGTTTCAACTTACCTTCAGATTACTACTCTGTACAAAACTGGCATTACATATATTGCAGACATACTTCTTAACACCAGCATGTATCATTTCATGATTCCTCAGTACATTTAAATAAGCAAAGCTTTTACCGCAAGTCAAACACTGATATTTACGAACGCCTGTGTGTGTGCGTATATGACTTTGGAGGTTTCGAACAGCTGGAAAAGTCTTGTCACAATATTCACATTTTATATCCGGCTAGAAAATAATAAATAAGCAATATAATATATTTTTAGGAGATTTTTCAATTTCACACAAATTATTTTAAAATACCTTTTTACCAAAATGTATTCTCAAGTGCGCTTCGAAATTTTCGTATTTTTGAAATGATTTCTCACATTTTGGGCATTTCATTCTTGTCCTTTTCTTCATCGGTTTTTCTAGCTCTCTTCGCTTTCTTATTCTCCTGAAAAATGTTTTTGAAAGTAAGGATGTTGATTGATTTTGTTAAGGTGGAGTGGGTAGGAGACATAATATTATTTCCGTGTGCGTTACCCAGGTCATTTGTTGTCGAAATGGTCATTTGAATCTTATAGATAATTAGTTGTGCGGCTTCTGTAATTGTTGTGCACATTTTTGAATTCCCTGAATTTCCTGCTGAGGTAATGTTACCCTAGCCAGACCTTTTTCTTTCTAATGGGAATATTTAAATAATTACTAGCTATAAAATTAGTTGTCTAGATGAAGTAAATGTTGTGCCTTATTTTGCATTTGTTCTTTCATTGGCTGCGAAGTTATTCGAGATTCTGTTGGGGTAACGTTTTCCGTTTTGCTAGCTTTGAGATGGTTTAGCTTTCATATTGTGTACATGACTCCTTAGGAATTAGTTTAAATTTGTTCTGCAATAAAAAACCAAAATAATATATAGCTTAAAGGTTATTTCAATAAATTCACATACATTGGAAGGCAATTACAAGCTTTAAATTAACGTTTAAAATAAGTCTTTAGAGCTCTTATTGAGAGTGCTGGGACCAATTGAAGTGTTTTTCTATTTAATGAAATACAAAGGTTATTTTATTAAATAGAAAAACACTTCAAAAAGCGATGTACTATTTTAGTTGTTCTATTGCATTGCAGAACAAATTTAAACTAATTCCTAAGAAACCATGTACAAAATATGATAAGAACCCGCTTAACCATTTCAAAGATCTAACAATACCAAAAACGTTACCCCAGCAAAATCTCGAAACTTGGCAACTGATGAAAGAACAAATACAAAATAGGGCACAACATTTACTTGCAGCTAGACAACTAATTTTATAGCTAGCAATTATTTAAATATTCCCATTAGAAAGAAAATGGTACGGCTGGGGTAACGTTACCCCAGTAGGAAAAGTTTTTGTGAAATAATTAAAAAACTATAAGCGCAACAAATTTAAAAATGACAAATTTAACAATTACAGAAGCAGTACAACTAATTATCTATAAGATTCAAAAGACCATTTTCGACAACATCTGGCCTGGGTAAGCACACATTATTTTCCATTAATTTTTTATTTTAGTTCAATTAAACACTGAAGCGGTGAGTGCATCTTGTACACATACCTAATAATTTCAGCTGGTTCCATGGAGCGGTCAGGTGGCATATCATCTTCTGAAGGAGGATTCTGACTGAGCATGTCATCCTCTATTTCCGGCACATTCATTTCTAAGATATGATTAGGTTCACTTTCCAGTTTAACAGGTTCCTGCTAGAAAATGCATAATGTTAATGTATTATAAGAACTATTGCAAAAGAATAAAATACCTAATAGACTTTCCACTGAGTTTTCATTATTTTTCAAAGTAACTCAATCTTATAATTTGTGATGAAGTTGCTGTTAGTCTGAAGTGAGACTAAATTTAGTCTAATGGAAGCTTATTTGGTTCTAACAATAACTTATTTATATGTGCATACCTCATCTAAAAATTGTTGTTTCAATATAAGGTTGGAACGAACCGCAGTTTGTTTGAAATAATATGACTTGTTCAGTACATCCAGACAAGCTTGGCATATCTGGCGAGGCAGACCATCACTTTCATCCAACTGCAAAAAAAATTAAAACCTTATTTCAAATTGTCTACAATAGAATATTATCAATATTCTATGACAATCTACTTAATTATGGTCTATGAGCCTTCTCCATTAAATCCGCCCCTTAGACGACACACTGACCGAGGAGTTGCCTAAACCCTCCATGCATTGCGCTTGGAAAGCCAGGAGTCGCTATGATAGAACCGGGCAGCGGGTGAAACGGCGCGGGAATAATAAATTCATTGAATAACATACCTCAACAGAAGTACAGAATTTGTAAACTTCAGGTGTGCAAACCATGAACAAGTCTTTCATGGGCCCGCTATCTAGTAAGCACGCACGACAGACCTTTTTGAAATCTATCACTAAAACCACTTCCGTAGACATTTTTATATTTCGTTTTACGAAAATTATTTATTTATTTATTTTTACAAATAAAAACACAACAACCACCTGACTTCTCGAGTTTATGAATTGTCATTTGAGTTTGACGTTTGTTTTGCCACAGATAAAAAACTCGTAGTTAAAAGTTAGTAGCAATAATAAAACGTATTGTAATGTTGGTGTTATAATAATAGATTTCTGTTTAATATTAATTGTTTACTTACTCAAGTTTATTTAAAGATAGTAAAGAGTTTTTAATTCACTTACTGCATTTTCACGGTAACATTTTAAAACATTATTTTTTGCCTGCCCGAATCGATTTCGCAATTTGCTGTTATTTTCGAATATTACGCGTAAGATTAATTTAATTATTTTTAAACAAGGAAAGTCCCTGTAAATTCCTGTTGCATAATTTTTTTCAGGTATTTAAAACTATGTCAACGTTTGATTAACTCTTTGATTTGGTAACATTGATAAGATAACAAAACTTCGAAATTCTCTCTTTATCCTTTTCTTATCGGTTAACAGACAAATAATTACGACAGTAATTCGACGGCGTTATCTAAGTATTTACAAAAATAATTAACTGTATGTACCTAACTACCTTATACCTACTTACAATGTTATATGTAGGTATTGAAGTGCATTATGAGAACAAAATTGTTAGCTACATTTTCATATTGTTATTAAACTTACTTCATCATTAATTATGTCATTCATTGCACCTAAATATTCCGAAAATACTTCAACTGATAAAGATTCGGACAATCCTGCAGTACTACTTAACTTTGACCTCTTTAAATATATTGAACTCGATAAAAAGCTGTGAAGCTATCATAAACTAGTTTTTACCTAACGGTATGTTATGGAGCCGACCGACACACATGCGTACACGTCGACTAAATTGAAGATGTTTAATCCTCATACATTTATGATTGCAGATGTTCGCTACGCTACGTCACTTTATCTGCAGTCATTCAAGTAGCATTGTTAGCGTAAATACATTGATTGGAGGTTATATTTTTACATTTCGACTACAATAATAACTACACTACATTTACACAGGATATTTTATTTTAAAAATTTTCCTGGCTTAGGTATAGGCATTGAACGACCACAGACGCAACATAGCTTTATTTTATCCAATTTATATCCGTGGTGACAGCTTCTTATACGCTTGTAGTTGTGTTGTGTGATAATGATTAACAAAGTAAACACGATATTGTTTTAAGTCATAAAGTGTAGTGAATTGAATTGGTGTGTAAGTACACAGTATATGTATGTAGATGTTGATAAGAACATTGCCCGTCCAGTCATACGTTTTCAGCGGCACGAACCGCTCGTGTTTTTGAGTCACGTTTGTTTACGTCCACGTAACAATAGTAATTGAATATGAGTGCCAACGGTGCAAGCGACGAAGTACCCATCAGAGGGATTCCAAACAATGAAAGAATCAGCCGTTTAAAGGAACATTTTATCCAGGAATTCGGAAACGATCCATTGTTTTTTGTCAGAGTGCCGGGACGCGTGAACCTAATTGGTGAACACATTGATTATTGCGGCTACCCAGTGTTGCCCATGGCACTCGAACAGGATATACTGATAGCCGCTGCGATACTAAATAAACCAGAACTTCATGTACGAAATGTAAATAATAAATACAGCAATTATGTAACGGAAATTAAATCATGTGAAGATATAAATATTATTTCGGATCATAACGGTAAACCGTTTTGGTATAATTACGTGCTGTGTGGGGTTAAAGGTGCTTTGGAATTTTTGGACGGTAAAATTACTTCAGGACTACAGGTTTGTGTTGATGGAATCATTCCTCCTGCATCTGGACTGTCAAGTTCGTCTGCTTTAGTAAGTGCAGCATGCCTGGCTCTTCTGTATGCTCAAAATGTTCCCCTGAGTAAAACTGACATTGCGTCTTTATGTGCAAAATGCGAGCGATACATCGGAACTCAAGGAGGCGGTATGGATCAAGCAATAGCATTTTTAGCTGAGAAGAACTGCGCCCAATATATTACGTGGCAACCCCTGAATGCTACACCTGTGGCCCTTCCCGAGAATGCAGCGTTTGTTGTGGCACATAGTTTAGCAGAAGCTAACAAAGCAGCAACCAACGATTTTAATCGACGGGTGATTGAATGTAGGTTGGCGGCTAAAATTATAGCTACGTGTGCAGGTGCAGCTACTGATAACAAAATTATTACACTTAGCCAAGTACAAAATAAACTCGATAACACTTTAGAAGATATGGTAAATCTTGTACACAAGTATTTGCCTAAGGAATTGTATACAAAGGAAGAAATATGTGACATTTTAAATGTTAATGAAGAAGAACTAGAGCAATTTTATTTAACACCAAACACGAAGCATTTGACGGAGTTTAAATTAAAACAACGCGCTCTTCACGTTTACGAAGAAGCCATTCGTGTGGAAGATTTTCGTAAACATTGCTCGCAAACAGTGTCAAACGGGACTAAAGTTAATGGTTATGGTGTGAATGGAAATGGGTCTTGTGAAAATGGTGATGCCAAAGATATAATTGATGTACTTGGAAATCTTATGTCCGGTAGTCACCACAGTCTGAAAGACCTGTACGAATGTTCTCACGATAATTTGGATCATCTAGTCAATATATCAAAAGAGATGAATGTCCATTCTCGTCTCACTGGTGCTGGGTGGGGTGGATGTATTATTGCTTTGTGTCCAAAAGAGAAAGTCGATAAATATATTGATCATTTAACAGAAAACTTTTATATAAAACATTGTAATATCGACAAAAGTCAAGCTAAGTCATATGTATTTGCTACTACTCCAAACCATGGTGCAGAAATATATTTAAATAAATAAATTATTACTAACGAACATAGGTTCGAAAACTGTAGCTAATATAATTGCTAGTAAGTACTTTGTAGTATTGTTATTGTATCCACCGCCTTAGCTATGATGTTTACAATTACGATAACATACCTTTGTTATTAAAATATGCCATAAAAGGTGCTCAACATAGCTATTTTGATTAGGTTGATTTATATCTAGTTGAACGTTAGATATTACCGCTATTTTG